GAAAAATAAGCACCTACTGTCTAAATATAGAAACACGTCACAGCAGATGACAAGGAAATAATGTCTTTTTAAAGAGGCACTATCATAGAAAATACGACATGGAGAGACAGAATAGGATGAACAAAGCCTTTTTGCAGAACTGACATTTGATGGAGCTGAAGAACAAGCGCAAACAGGGAAAGGAGGCTTTGGGGGCATTGCGAGCAGGAGGCAGTGTTCAAGGTGGAGGAAGCAGCACTCCGCATTCATTCAGAGCCTGCTGCGAGGCCATCACTGCATCTTTGTGGCTACGGTGTAACACTGACGATGCTGAGGGCGAATAGGAACGCTCCGAGTTTCACAGACGGTCAGACTCTGAGTCAGGAAGACATAGATGGTGCCAGAATGAGGGCATGATAGGGAGGCCCATGTGGGACCAAGGCAGGACTGTGACATTGGACAGTGTCCCATGGAAAATATGAAGAATCCACAGATTCTTTTTTTTTTTTAACTAGAAGGGAAAGTCCTGGGAACCTAAAACATGCTACAGCTACAGTCCCTTTCTCTGTAGATTAAGTGATGCTCAGAGGCACAGTGTGCAGTGTTCTGGCGACAATATTGAAAACAGGAAGATATGACTGAGACGTGCCCAGGTATGTAGCTGCCAGTGGCTATGGGATGGTCCAGAGGAAATGACAACAGGCACAGGTTGTGACAGCTCATGCCTTTAGTCCCAGTACTCAGGAGGCAAGAGGCAGAAGGACGACTGAGTTCCAGGCCAGCCTGAGCTGCATAGTGAGAGCTCATCTCAACAGAACATAAGGAAATGAGAGCTGGGATCTTGATTAACTAATTTTTGTACTAGTTTGAATGCATTTTTAATACAGTCAGAACCATTCATTTTCACACAATTCTCTTGACCTGTATCACATTTTAGCCATAGAAACAAGGTGTCGCTCTCACCAACTGCTTGTCAGTGCCAAGAAGGCATCCTGGATAAACTGAAGGATGCTTCGCTGTCTGGGAACTTGCTGTGTAAACCAGGCTGATCCAGAACTCATAGAAACCAACCTGCTTCCTGAGTGCTGGGAGTGAAGGCGGGCACCGCCATGCCCAGCTGCCCAAGCCTTAGATCACTCCTACCTGGCCATGTTCCCATTTCTCCTCTACTTGCCTTTTAGAACCTGCCCAGGTCACTCTCATCACCCCATTATCCCACGCTGTGCTTCCCAGCTTCCCAGCCTGCACACGGTAAGACCAGTTATCTGTACAGTGGGGCTCTGTCCTATTTCAGTAACACTGGGTCTAAATTTAGTACCACTTATTCTAAAAGCCTTGCTGCAGTAAATTCGCAGTATCACTTGCCGTAATGGACAATCACCAAAACAGTAATAAGGTTACAACAAGGGCTTTGGAGAAAACTCCACACTCTATTCCAGATAGCAGCACCGAGCCAGCTATCTGTTAACTATTTTCTGTCAAACAAGAAGGCAAAAATTCCTGTTGCAGGTTACGATTCAAGTGTTAATCACCTTCACATGAGGCTACTGCATCAGGCAGCACACACACATGATAGAAAATCCCAGAACAGCACTGTTCCAAATATACTAAGTATCACTCCCCATCCTGGTGCTGAGCAATACCAGTCAGTATCTCTGTCGTACACCTAAGGAAGCTGTTATAGTCCGGCACACCCCAGTCTCTCTAGTTCCTCAGCCCAAATGCTCCTTCCCGTCTTTGCCCTGTTGGCCCTGCAGTTTTTAGGTCGCATCTTATTCCATTCACAAGACCTTGTCCAACAACCTAAGGCAAAAGCCACCATACCCAGTCTCTGTTCTTTCATTTCCCTGCTCAGTCATTGCCTTCCTTATGATCACTATGACTTAAAAGTCTGCTCTCATCCCATTGTGCCTAAGCCACTCAAACTGACAAATCCACAAAAGTACACACCAAGACAATCCGATAGAGAATCTTAACTTGATGAAGTAACTCTACAGTTGGGAAATTTTGTTTAGTTTCACCTACAAAGTCACTTAACAAAACTACGTCACCTTCAGAATAGAGTGAGTTTATCACTACACCAAATACTCACACGAAAAATGCTGAAAGACCAGTAAATAAAGGAAACTTATTACCTAAACTTTTAAAGGAGAAACTGACTTCTTTCTCCTGAGCTGGGAATCTATGCCAAGCCACTAAGCAAGTGTTTGACCTACGTGCTATATTCCTAGCACCACAGACTTTTGAAGATTTATTATGTTTACATGTGTCTGTTTGCATCTCCTGAAGCTGGAGTCCCAGGTAGCTGTGAGCCCCATGGGTGTTGGGAAAAACAGCAAGTGCTATTAATTAATGGCCGAGTCATCTCTCCAACCCCATCTACCCTTAAAATAAGCAGCACAGGCTCTGCTGGCAGCTAGCTCCTGAGGTTCTAAAGCATCACCAGTGTTCAATGGATCCCGGCTGCTTTGCTCGACTGGACAGTAAGGAACAAAGAGGGATGCTTTGCAGACTTAAAGCTCCACAGATGAGGACAAGTCAAAAATTCCTAATGAGAGCCAGGTGGTGGAGGTGCATGCCTTTAATCCCAGCACTCAGGAGGCAGAGGCAGGCTGCTCTCTGTGAGTTTGAAGTCTGCCTGGTCTACAAGAGCTAGTTCTAGGGCAGGCTCCAGAGCTACAGAGAAACCCTGTCCCGGAAAAAAAAAAATAAGGAAGGAAGTAAATAAATAAATAAAATTTTTAAAAAATTCCTAATGTGGCTGTGAGGTAGGACGTTAACACTGAGTTCAGTGGCCAGGATGAAGATCTGTGGCCAGTGTCAGGATGGGGATCTTCTGTGTTCAGTTGCCAGGCCTTTTAGCATGTTACTTAGGCATACTTACAAAATTTTGCCAAATAAAAAGCTGCGCCAGCTAGTGTCACCCTCTCCTCAACCGTGAGGACAGTGTTTGACCACACAGCTCTCATCTCAGTCACCTTGCACTGGAGATACACTTCTGTCCTTTCTAACTAGCAGCTGGATGGAAGGTACCATTACAGCAAATGAACGAGCCCGTGAGAGCTTTAAGTACCACAGCCCATATTTACACACTGGAAGGTGTTTTCCAGGACTTTAGGTCCAGAGCTTTTATAAGAGACCCAGCAATGCTCAGGTAGCATTTTATCTGCGTAACACAAGTTTGGAAACAAGACTGAATGGTGTTCTCTATCTGGGAATGTGAAATTATGGAAATGGTTATCTCATGCAAAGTGGATTGTTCTAAAGCTTTCCTCTGCAGCCTAAGAAGACAGGCAGACTTCTCTGTGTGTGCGCATATAATTTCTCTCTCTTTCTCTGTGTGGATGCACACACATATCTGTAAAAGAGAGGGGAGTTGTCTTTATAGCCCTGGCTGTCCTGAAAATTGCTATGTAGACCAGGCTAGCCTTGACCTCACAAAAACCCACCCATCTGCCTCTGCCTCCTAAGCAATGGGCTTAAAGGCATGCACCATCACACCTAACATAAATATCTTTAGATATTCTCAGCATTAGTGGACAAATGAGAAAGCCATAATTTTTGTCATGTTCTGCAATCCTGGTAGCTTAGTTCTAGGACTTGAAATGCTTCTTTCCTTTTAACTTTAAATCTTGATGCTTAGAGGACAAAGTTACATACGGCAATAAGGATGTGGCTTCCTGCTGGTGCTCACTCACTGAGGTCATAACTTTCTGTTTTTTGTTTGTTTGTTTGTTTGTTTTTAATTTAGAGCATTTAGAAAGAAGACACCAGGAAATGTGCTTACTTCTCCCTTGCTTTTCCGGTGATTTTTCTCAGAAACGTTTTCAAAGCTCCTTGAAAATAAGATTATTTCCTGTGCTTGGGTAGATATCCTACATGAGAAATGTTTCTTGAGATGTAGAAGAAACTAAAAAGTAATAGAATTGATATTATGAAGGATTAACCAGTACATCTGCTCAGGAGACATGAAGTCATACAAAGTAGAACTTAGCTAAGGGAGAGCTGCCTCCAAAATACCTCAAAGATAAGCAGTATGCTAGGATGTTAGGATGCAGATGTTTGTTCATCAGGATGACCAGTCATCAGGCCCTTCCCCAAAGAATATGCTTCTAACAGAAGTCCAAGGAGGCAGTGTGGGGTCACAATGAATGTTAAGTCCTGGCCTGCCCAGTTCTCTTCCTGAGAAAATCATGATTCTGCCAGATGGGCAAGATGGCCCTGGGTAACAATTATTCAAAAGGACAACACTTATGTACTTAATTCTGGAAATCTCTTTGCTGTGTGAACCTCCCATCTACCCAAGTAGTCAGACTTGCAGTAAGTCTCCTGTTCCTGCTTAATTTGTTCCAAGTGTAACCTGGGGCCAGGACATGAAGGAGATTTAAGGATGACTGTGTGTATAAAATGCATAAGCCTAGGGTATATACAGGCTAGTAAAATCTTCTGTTCAAGGCTGACTCTTATTTGGGCTTCAGCTTTAGCAGAGAGCTCTTCCAAGTGTGCAGAGTGACTTCTCACTGGGCAGCACGCTACTCCTAGAAGAAGATTAACAGACACACTGCCCCAGTGTCATTACGCAATCTTCAGAGAGGAGACTAGGAAAGCAGAGACAGTCAACACAGGCTCGTGATTTTAACGAAAACCCATGAAACGACATGAGCAAATCCTAACATTTCTTCTACTATCACCTCAGGATCACTGTCCGCTCAAATTCTTTAGCCTGCAGTTCATTCCAAGTTCTCCTAAGAGTCTACTTCATGAGTTAAAGATGTACACAGAACAAAGTAGTCTAGAATTTAAAAAAGTAAATTTTGGAGGCAGCTCAGCATCGCAAGGTGGTGGTCAGATCTTCACCCTCAGATGACAGAGCTGGAAGGAAGCACACCCTGCAAACACCCTCACACACACAGCTGCACGACTGAGCATAAAGTATGCGAGCACGGGAAGAATGGACCCACAATGCTGACGATACATGCTTCTAGGTGTCTGGAGTCTGATCAATAAAAACAAGGGAAATCTACAACAAGGAAACAGACATTTATTAAAAATAAAACAAGACAGTCTCTGACAAGAAACAATAAACCCCACTCAAGAGTCCAAAGACTTCCAATATATAATGTAACTATGTACATGTGTAAAAAGTCCCAGTGAGTCAATTTTTTTTTCTTTAGAATTTTCAAAAGAAAAAATGAAAAACCACACTTGGGCTTCCATTGGGGAGCCTGCCTACAGGCTCACCCCTAGACCTGCGCTCCCCGGTGCTGTACATGACACTGCAGCATGTACAGTGACTCCCATCAACGCTGCCTTTCGGACTAAGGTCAGTGTCTGTACGATGATCCAGAATGAAAATCAGTGCACTGATGTCACAGGGAGGATTCACAGGCTTAAAGAGCAGGGATGACCTGGTATCCTCAAATCCTCAATTTTAATGAAGACACAGAGGAAACTACTAAATCTAGATGCTTTCACATTATTTTGGCTGAATGTCAAGTACTGTATAAAAATTAATGTAAAATCTTAAAAGAACCAGAACCGCTGTCTCTAGAGATCAGTTCTTCACTCCTGGTCTAGCTGATGAACTTCTGTCTCTTTAATATTAATGTTTCAAACTATAGAACTTCAGGAAAGTTCTATCTGCTGCCCAAACTTTTGTCTAGGACACGCACAGCTCCTGCTGGATACTGGACGGTGCTAGTTTACTGTCTTCCATCTTGTCTTGTCCAGGGGTTTGACAAGTGGTCTTCCTCTTAAATAACCGAAGACTCAGCCGCAGTAGCTCGTTGTCCACCATCGGAGTGTTTGTGTACGCCTGCTTCACAGTTCCCTATTGGAAAAAACAAAAGCAACACACTGTATATTGCTGGGCCACAGTGGGAAAGACACGCGGGGTAGTTCCACCCCAACCCCAACGTTAGCTGAGCACTGACTCTGAACTCGGCCGATGTTAAAGCAAAATTAGGACTCTGTTCAATACCAAGCAAGCAAGCTTCAGAGGGTAACCCTGTCTAGCTCTTACTAAGGCGGGGCTCCTCAACCATTCCCAGCTAGCAATTAACTGCATTTCCTTCACCATTTCTACCGAGAAAACAAACACTGGAGTGAAGCAGAGGCAGTATGCGCTGAGTCTCTCCTCCTGAGGGGCCCTATTGAGCAACACTTGCATTCAATCTTGCTTTTGCCTGGCAAGGTGAAAGTTCTGAAAGAACCATGACTTCTTCCTCATTTTTCCTTCACAAGCCAACATTCTTCACTCCTTATTGGTCTCAGCACTTGGGCCGTAGCACGGACCTCATTTCTAGAAGACGGTCAGTCATCACTGTGCCGAGGAGCTACTGCCTCACACAAAAACCTATGCCTAAAGCTACACTGGAGGGGACAATCTGGTCAGTTCGTCCTGTCCCTAACCACATGGAATGATACGGGCACAAGCACTGCGCTACTGCTCTCATTTCCCTGCACCCCAAATACAAATGACTGGGTGGTTTCTGAACCAATTTGCATTCTTTAAAATGTATTTATTTCCTAAGATATGGTGGAGCAAAAGTAACTTTCTATGTGTATTTCTTTGAGGTTTACTACAGACTCATGCAGACACAGCAGCAATCAGGGAAGACAGGGTCTTTACTTAATGAAGCACTCATATCACATTCTCAATCCTAACGCTGACAATCATTGATGACTTCCATTGTTTTACCTTTCCCAGATGTCACAGAAACAAAGGCCAGGCCTAACTTACTGGTGTTAGCTCCTCTCTTCAGCCTAACGCCTTTGAGATTTGTGCATGCTGCCCAAGGCGCCAACAGTCTGGTTATGTTTTGTTGATAGTGACTCTCTACTGCACGGGCTGTTACAATTCACCTACTGGCCAATGAACACTGGCGGTGGTTTCAGTTGGAGGGAGTGTGGTCATGTTTTAACAGGTTAGCTCTTTTTGGCAGCTGATATAGGTTTTTAAGAGGATTTCACTGCAGTCTTAATTTTCATTCCCTAATAGCTAGTATTGACAAACATCTATTCGTGTGCTTGATGCTAACCATACTGGCATAATATCTGTTTAAAATTTCACCATTTTGAAAAACTGAGTTGTGCTCTTACTGTGTTAGTTCTTGAGACTATCTTCATATATCTGGGATATTTAACACTGTATACTGTAAGTACTGTCTCCTTACTATTTTTCTTTTCATTTTCCTATCAGTCTCTTAATTTATGATGAATGATAAGTTCATAATACAAATACTTTAAAAATCCAAACTACTTTCCCCGTCCTTCTTAACTGGTCACATATGTGTCCATCTACTAGAATTTGTTTACTTCCATTTAACTGAAATTATATTCTTTTACCAATACCACATTATTTTAAATACCTGCGTCATTGTAAGTTTTGAAATGAGTAGGTAAATTCTATCATTTATTTTTAGTGGTTTTATTTTGTGTAAAAGTGATATGAGCAGACTCCACATAAATTTAAGAATCAGCTTGTTCACCTCTACAAAGAGATCTTGAATTTTTATTAAAATTTTCTTAACTCTGCAGACCAGTCTTGGGGAGAAAAATAATCTTAACTATCACTTGATATAATCATGTGGTTTTTCTTTTTAGTCTGATATGTAGATCACATTGAATGACTTTAAAACACTGTCCAGTCTTTCATTTCCAAGGTAGCCAATATTGGATTGTGGTACAGGATCCACTCCCAACACTTTTGAGATCTACGGCCATTCCCGAGAGAGGACGAGCAGCAGCATGCTCCGTGTGCATGCTCCGTGTGCATTGCAGTGCTGGAGCTATGACCTAAGCGCCTGCTTCTGGAAACACCGTGTACAATCAGGGTTTGTTTTGTTGTTATTTAATTTTTTGAAAGCTATTTAGCACATTTTCAAGTCTGACTGTCCAGGAATAGAAATTTCATTTTTAAAAGGACCTAAACCAGAATTTTCAACCTGTGAGTTGTGACTCCTTTCACAAACTTCTATCTCCCCAAATACTTACATTACGATTCCTAACAGTGGAGCAGCAAAATTCCAGCTATGAAGCAGCAGTGACAATGACTCTATGGCTGGGGTCAGCACAGCATGAGGAACTGTACTAAAGGGTTACTGTATTAGGAAGGTTGAGAACCACTGGTCTAAACTAAACTGGATAAAAACTACTTCTGACATAGATTTGGTAGTGTGAGGACTCAGTCTAGTCATTGCTACTAAACTGGACTTTATATGAACACTCTTTCTTTTCTCCTGTTTTGGTGTTCAGTGCTGGGGATTGAACCCAGAGCCTTGGGCATGCATGCAAGCCCTGTCACTGAAGCCCCAGGCCTCTGCTACTCTTCTATCACCCACGGTGTCTGTAGCACCATCGATTCTCCTTACTATTCGTTTGTGTTTTCTTCACGTTAGCTAGGGTACTATTCATGCCTCTAAAGCAAAACAAAACAAAACAGTTTTTGTTTCGCTATTTCTCTAATGTCCCTCTATCTCCAATTTTGTTAATCTGCTATTATTTCCTTCCTTTTATCCGCTAATATGACATTTAAATTCATTTTCAAAAGCTAAAGTGTTTTTTCTCCTATTTTTCTAAGATGTTTTATACTTATATACTTCAAAGTAATTCTCTTATAAACAATGCCAAATAAGTGATCAATGGTTTTTCTACATTTGTCACTGGAGAGGAATCTAGCTTTTGGCCCAGGATACAGCCCTGTTCTGTGCTTCTCTCAGTATTCTTCACGAGACCATTTCATGTCTGAAACTATCTGTTAGCTCTGTCCCTTTCTTGTAGCTTGTGCTACTATCCGCAACCCTGGCTGGTCTCAAATGCAAGATTCTCCTGAGCAGAGTCCACAGCCTGGGCTACAGGCCCACCAAGTGCTGATGTCTTCAACACTGAGAAATCTGAACGTTCACAATTCTCTCTGAAGATAGGTTAATTAAAACATTTATAATCAATCATTAAAACTTCACAATGTGCCATATGGTCTGTTAATTACAATGTATAAGGGTCTAAACAATTCTATGTGAGATGTTTTAGGGCTGTTTGAGTTGCTACAGTTTTTGAGGGACACAACAGTATATTAGGGGAGCAACCAATAAGTACCATAATTTTTTCCCCAAGAGACAGGGTTTCTCTGTAGCTTTGGAGCCTGGCCCGGAACCAGCTCTTACAGAGCAGGCTGGCCTCACGCTTGCCTCTGCCTCCCGAGTGCTATTTTTTACAGAGTGTGCAGTCTCCTGAGGATACCGGCACTCCTTATTGGAAGTAGCCGTAACATGACACAAGTGATCATTTACAACTGCACAGTGACCATGGTGACTGCTGTCAGTGCCCAGCTGCGAAGAGGACTCACTGCCCACATGTCTAGGGTTGGGGGCGGCAATACTCTCAAGAGAGATGCTGGGCTGAGAAAGGCTGCCAGGAGAGATGGCCACCTGGGCAGAATAACGAGGAGATAGTAAGTATACACAAAACAGCAATCACAAAGGAGAATGATTAACTGTGTCAAAAGTCATTTGAAACAGTTCTTTTGTCAAGAAGACTATAGATGGGTGGATGGATGGGTAGATAGATAGAAAGACACACAGAGAGAGACGAGACGGGCGAGGAAGAGACAGAGGGGCAGAGGAAACAGAGGAAGAGATACACCCACAGAAGCCAGAAGAGGGTTCTGGACCCCCTGCAGCTGGAGTTACATACGTGGACAGTAGGCACTAGGAACTGGACTCTGGTCCTCTGAAATAGCAGCAAGCACTCTTAACTGCTGAGCCGGCTCTCCAGTCCCAGACTTGACTTTCTAAAATGTCTCCCATTCCTCATAACTGTGTCCATTTTAATCTTTAGAGAAGAGTTTACATATTTCCAGTTTATAAACTTACTCCCCCAAACCTGTCTATCATTCCTTATAGCAATGCTAAAGAAAGAGAAGTCAATGTTTTCCTATGTAGTCCTGTAAACTGTTACTAAGTTAATGCTTTTCTGACTTTACAGGACCAATTTTCTTTTGTCATACTGCCCATGTCCATCACACTCACCTACAGTCCTACTTCCCCAACCTTAAAAAGCCCAAGACTCAGCCGGGTGGTGGTGGCGCACGCCTTTAATCCCAGCACTTAGGAGGCAGAACAGGCGGATCTCTGTGAGTTCGAGGCCAACCTGGTCTACAAGAGCTAGTTCCAGGACAGGCTCCAAAGCTACAGAGAAACCTGTCTTGAAAAAATCAAAACCAAACAAACAAAAAACCCAAGACTCTTTCAGTCTCTATCAGCTCCTTCTCAAATCTCGAGTAACTCTCATTTCTGACTTCTGAGTCACCTTTATTGTCTCTAGCAAATGCTTGCATACACTCTTATGTGTCTGCTTATCCCAAGAAGCATGGAGAACATCTCACACATGAATAAACGTTCATGTATGGAGTCTAGAGGGACAACTATCACTCACAACAGCCGCCATCAACACTGCTGAGGAGGAAATGTGGATTCTTCCCTTAAGTATCTGGCAGATTAGGAAAGCAAATTCACAAACAGTTAAGATGGAAAATACACTATTCCTACCACCCACTGAGCGGTACCTTTTCGTTCTTCACAAGCTGCTTCCGGATTGCAGAATCCCGTCTGAAACATAATGCTTTACAACATGGTCCCAGGTCACTAAGGAGACTTGCTCGCTCTTCTTTTCGCAGTAAGGCAGCCATGTTGAGAGCCCCTAGCTCATGCTCGAAAAGGCCATCTGCATCTTTAATCAAAACAAGCATGTGTTAAGTCTCCCTGCGAGAGGCAAGTGTCAGCACTGACTTAACTGAGTACTCCTCTGACTTACTGACATTAGCGACCCTGGTGAATGGTTCACCAAGGCGAGCAGCAATGGTCCCTCATGAAGTACCTTTGTCTTCCATGTAGTTACATGGCTAGTCTTCCATGAAAACAACAGTGTGATGCTATCTTAAATTTAAGGTGTATTGAAAGCAGACTTTAGAGAGGGAATGAGGCCCCTGATTATATATAGACTTGAAAGAACGGTCAAGTGAGAACATTTAAATAAGATTCAGTATCTGGCCTAGCATTAAATATCATGTACACTCTGACATTTCAGGACTCTTCTGTAGCAAGATATAAAAGTAGTCACGGCAGAGACAGTGACCTCTATAACATTAGCTAAGGGCTGTTAGGGGTTAGCCAAATGTCTAAGTCACATAAACATAATGTGTTATATGACAATATGTTATAGACGATGTGTTAAGGCACAATAGATTAGTTTTAGATTATACCATGCAAGAGAAAGAGAAAACTCTTAAGTTGACAAGAAAATAAGAAAGAAAAACGAGAAATTTGATTAAAAAATTAGGCTGGGATAAAGTAAACAAAGAACTGGGGTTAAAAGGAGTTTTTTTCTGAGGCCAAAGACTTAACCAAAGTAAAAAGAGTGTGGCAAGAACCCTTAGGTCACTTTTCAGATCACAAAATGTTCATAGTTACAATTTATTAGTAGTATTAAAATTGAGAACTTTACTGATTATGGGAACAGGCAAAAGGACATGGGCTCATAAAACTTTAAAAACAGTTTTCTCTCAGTCTCATCGACAGAATTATTAGTAAGCTATAGAACTACAGAACAAACCAAAAAACACCAGAATCCATAAATTAAAAAGTTCAGATTTGCTGACAGTTATAAGGCGAAAATTAATTCAGATAAAATATTTTCTGACTAAATATACTAACAGTCTAAACATAATGTGCCTCCGGTCCAGGCACTGCTGTGTGTCTTACTGCAGACAAGGGACAGTGGTGATGTAACTATTCCAACTACAGCTGACACCAACAGATGGAGATTAGGTAAGAAGAAGGGTATTCTCTGTAATACAGATTAGGGACCCTCCCCAACACATTAAACCATCCTCAGCCTGGACATTCACATTTGGGAACACCTGCTTGAAACCAGGGGAAAGGGTTGTCAAGTCACCCAAACATGGCTTAGGGAAAATATGGAACCTCGTGCATCCTGACGCGTGAACTTACTGTTAGAAAGCATTTTCTCTTTTCCACGGTGCTGGAGCCACGCCCCGTGCCCTGTGCTTATGCTCTGCAGAGAGCTAAACCTTCAACCCTCAGAGTATTTTTGATACAGAAAGTTCATTTTCTTTTCCAAGGTTCCCCCCCGACCAGAATTAAGCCGTTCTTGAATTTAAGAAATAATATGACTCCCAAAACAGTTCCTAGAGCCCAGGTTCTACAAGACAACCAACGGAATGCTTCCCAAGAGCACACTCATAGTTACGGCATGTTACTAAAGCAAAACCAAGTTACCTTTGGGTTTTTCTAGAAGTCGTTGACATGTTTCCTTAACTTTAGTAAATAGTTCAGAACCTGCCAACTTCTTAGAAATCCCGACTCGCAGCAGAACAGCTCCGGGTGTGAACTTGAAGAGCGCAGCCCCTGGCTCTCTCGGTTCTTTGGGATGCTTTGGCATAAGTCCAGACCAATCCACATCTATCACATCTAAAGGATCTGGAAACAAGGTAAAGAATCACAGAGCAGAACTTTATTTCACACCAGGAAAATGCAGTCCGAGGCTGGCAAGATGGCTCAGCATGTAAATGTGCCTGAAGTCAAAGCTGTCAACCTCGGTCTGATTCTTGGACCCCACGGTGGAAGCAGAACTGACCGAGTCCCAAGAGCTGTCCCTCTGAGCTCCACACCTGTCCTGCAGCAAGCACCACATCCCCAGAAAATAAATGAGTGAACATAAAAGAGCAACACAGTGACTGTTATCTCACAGCAAATAGTCTCAGGAAAATGAGGTGACAAGCTGCATCTCTAAGTTAGGAAATAGAAGGACAAATGAAATAAGTACATTTTATATACCCAGGTCAATCAAAATAACTCCCAATGCTAAAACAACAACAAAGTAAAACAAACACACGTGGCAGCCAATGCCTATAACCCCAGGGCTTGGGAGGTACAGGCAGGAGAATCAGAAGTTCAAGATCATCCTCAGCTGCACAGGGCGTTTGAAGTCAGCTGTGCTACATGAGATTCTGTCTCAAAAATAAAAAAAAGAAAAAAAAATCAAATAAATTAAAAAGTTGCATGCTGAGGCCCTGACGAGGCAGATGGCTCCTTAAGTGTCAAGGTGCTGCTTCACAGTTCTTACTCCAGTGGGCCGGGCAGAGCACAGACCACAGTAAGGACACAGGAAAGACAGAATGGACACATGCAGAAAAGGAACTTCATCAACTGTGTTCAAACAAATCTCAACTATCACTCTTTTTGAGAGGTGTTTAAAAAGTTGGCTCAGGTCACCACAATTATGAAGTCCTGTACCCACCATGTCAGACATTGGCAAGCAGCTGGGAATTGGTGAGGTTCTAGGTGAGTTAATAAGAAATCTTAAACTCTAGAAAAGAAATCTTACAATTCTGCCTTTCCCTAGGACCTAGGACTCTTTCAAGGGCAGTGTCAATTAAAGAATATAGATGCATGTATTTTAATATTCTTTCTAATGGGCTTCCCTTAAGACCTAGAGGGAAGAGCCTACGTGCCCTTACTTACTATGGAGGAGAACAAAGGGCACATTCCCCCTACACTCCAGTTCCTCTGTGACTCTGCAATGCAATACCTGGCATCTTCTCCTCTTCCTGCTGGTCCTCTCTCTTTTCTGCATCCCCGGCGAGAATTTCATCTAGTTCATCATCACTGATGGGTTCATATCCTTCCCCAGCACCAGAGCCTAACGAATGTGCATCATCTAACTTCGACTCGTCATCTCCTGCTAAACAGACAAACCAAGTTCATGTCAAAAAAGTAATAAAAGGGAGCAATAGTGAAACTGAAAGACAGCGACTGGTGGGCACAATAAAGGACGCGAGAATATTTTTTTAAACCAGAAAACCACATTCCTTTGCCAATTAATAATTTGATAATAACTTGATAACTTTAATTTGAAAAATAAAACTGAACTAGCTATATTTTTAATATTAAAGATACAGTAGCAATATCCAAACACACTGTTAGGTCAGAATTAAAATTCCAGAACTAATGTTGAGTATGTATGTACACTGTATTAACTGACAGTTTCATACATGCATATACTGAACTTTTGCAATTTCACCCCTATTTCCCTTCCTGTTGTAGCCTGTCTTCAACTAGTTCTCCTACTTCATGTCATCTTTTTGTGTTAATTTTCAACAACACTTGAACATTTAGGATAGTTTAACTCCAAAAAGCTACAGTAATTTTTTTACCCAAATAAACTCATTTTAAAAACTAGCAAACCAATTTCAAACTGCATTTTAAGCTCAAATCTTCGTCTCTGATGTTCAGCTCACAATATGAACTTTCTAACAGCGAGGGACTACTGTCAAAGTGTTGTTAATTGCCCCTGCCTCTCTCTCAATTCCGCTTCAATGTCTCAATGTTTTCATTTCCTTACTGAATGAAATTTTTGGAAGAATGCTGTAATACTACACTAGAAAGTAAGTGCTTCTGTTGGCATCAGTAGTACAAATTCTATTTTGTTATTTTTATTGACTTTTCTCCTCAACTATACCTAGACTAAGCTTTTATTTCCTGAGTTAGTTGTAAACCTAGTTCCCAAAGTATAAATAAGTTTAATTATTTCTAAGCTACATATTTTATATATCTATAACCCTTTTTGCAAACAGTAACCACAGGCTCATGGGTATGCATCTGAAGCATAAAAAGTATGAGGCTATGAAATATTTCTCATCATTCTAATAGTTTTTCTACACTGCAGAAGAAAATTCCCTTATGTACTCTATTATTCTCAGTAATAACACTGTACTGCTGGCTTATGAAATCACTGCCTGCCATCACAGTGGGTTTGTATACAATGAGGATACTTCTTCTTTGGCTGTAAGCTCTTACTAATAAGAAAATATTTACATGATACAGCAACTGATTCACTTCTAAATATACCATTTTATCTATGGTCGCAATAAAGAAATGATACATTCACGATGAAGACAGTAACTCCAGTTCTAATGAACCTATTATAATGATTAGTTCAATTTTATTCAGTTACATCCCAAAGTTGTACTTCCATTAGAACTGTAACTAGTGACCCGATGCTACTTATACTCAGAATTGAGATGAAAATGTAATGTGATGAATATGAAGCTTTTGTTAAAAGAGAAAACAGGCAACTGGGAGTTAGCCCGCCTTTCTAAAGACCAATGCTATTATACAGCAAGACAAACAAACAAAAAACCCCACATAAAACAAAAACTAATAACCAGAGATTTGGAAAGAAAAGGTTATGTCAGAACAATGATGTAAATTCTGACTGTAAGACTGGAGAGTCCCAGGGAGGCAGAATTTCCAGAGAATTCTCAGAGAAGCCATCCTGTTAACCTGGCTGTGTATTATTCAACCAGGAATGCTACACACAGAGTATGGGTAACACACAGCAATGATTCCTAAGGAGGAGGATACGGGGATGAAGACATGGGGAGGTCATTCCACACAGAGCAGGAACGCTTACACAGACACACAATGGACACAGCTCAAAGAGCAGCTCGGAAAGGAAGTAACACATTCAAGTAGTACACTCAAGATGGTAAGAGGAAAAAGGAAGGATGAAGACAGGTGAGAGGCTGGAAATGCCTGTGTCAGTTTGTCTAGGGTCTGGGGAGGAGGACATAAAGAATAACAATTTATTGTTTGTGAATTGCTGCAGGACAACATTTTGCCTATAGTAAAATCTACTGATTTAAAAAGTGATTGTTTACATCTCTTGGTTATCTGATTAGACTGCTCAACAACACCTGTTTAAAACACACACACACAACCATTTAACTTCAAAGACATTTCTACCTTAGCTTTCTTCTAATACATTTCACCTCAATTTTGAGAATAAATAAAATGAAAGCGCAAGCCATGGTTTTAAAGGAGGTTTAGACTTTCCGCGTAACCAAACTGGATTTAGCTGAACTGTAACCCACTGAACTATTGTAATAACCTTCTTTTTACTGAAGTCATCATCCCTATCCCTAAAATGAGTCGATTGTCTGGCACTGTGGAATGTGAAAGGTGAAGAGGAAAGGAGTGGGACCGAGGTCCCATGCACTCAAGACAGGCTCTGCCTGCAAATGGCCGATATGGCCCTGTGTTCTGCTGGAAGAAAGGGAGCGCCATCAGGCTTCACAGTCAATCTGCCATCAAATAGTTCTGGGGGTACAACATGCTCATTTCCAACTGCCCTAGCAAACAGGGACCACTAACAGCTATTTAATTGCTCACTTCAATTTTTGTCACAAGTTGAGACAGGTTTTGCTATGTAAGCCAGGCTGACCTTGAATCTGATTCTCAGACTCAGCTTTCCTGGAGTTAGGACTATAGGTGTGAGCCATTATGCTCAGCTGACTTTTTTTTATCATGTAAGAAAAGGATGTGATGGTTAATAAAAGCTACAGGTAATGCGCCAAGTGAGCTATCACTTCAATTTTTAGGTGGCAACAGAAGTGACTGTTCTTTCTCTTAACACTCTGTTCCCTCCCTTTACTTCAATCATTACTTCTTCATCTCATTCAGGTCTTTGATGAAATATTATATCCCAGTTACACTTTCACTCTTACAGGCTTTCCTTCTCCATCTACTTCCACTGCAGTGGAATGGAGTCAGTTCATCTGTTTATTCACGGATGACTTCAAAAGGAAACACAGTCCTGCAAAGAACTGGAAAAGGAATGGGGCAATCCAAGAGAGAAGAGTCGTGCTCTTACCTTCCAGACTCTCTGTTCGCTCAGCTTTACTCAAGTCTTCAAACCCTTGCACAGACCCCAGGTCTCTGTCCATCCTTTCTTTATCCATGGTTGCTGAGTCCCGGGAACTGCCGTCAAGGTCTCTTTCGTGCTCGCTCTCCAGTTTGGCTTCACTGCGTTTAACAGATTCTGACTGAGAAGACTCAAAAGTTCTATCTCGGTCTCTGTCCCTGTCCACAGGGTCAGTGGTCAGTCTCTCTCTTTCTCTGTCTAAGTCTCTTCTTTTGTCTCGCTCTCTTTCTCGTTCCCGCAGTCGATCTCGGTCTCGGGTTCGCGGCCACTCTTTTTCAGCTTCCCGGTCCCATTCCCTCTGCCTCGGGTCTCTCCGGTCCCTCTCCCGCTCTCGGTCATGCTCATACCGATCTCGCTCTTGAAGCCTGTCTCGGCTGTCAAATGACCCAGACCTTGAATGAACCTGGCGATCTGACTCAGGGGAGCTTCTTCTTGAGCTGTGGCTTCTGGAATCCTGGCGATCTAAAGTGAGTGTGCATATGAAAGTTAATAAACAAACAGAACACTTCGTTTTACAGTCCTTTACACTTCTATAACTTCTCTATTTTATTTTTTAATGTTGTTTATATACTCTGTATTTCTAGATTCTGTAATCCTATACATCCAAACTCTCAATAAAGTGAAAATTAAATTCCATGAGCATCCTTGCCTATTTTCACTATAGACCAAAGCATCAACACATGAACGCAGAAGACCAAGCACTAATACAGCTAATTACTATAGTAATTACTCTTATTTTCTATGGTCAAAAGGTAGCCCTGGCTGCAGGAAAGAGAAATAGCTAAATTACATTAGCTCAATCAGTAAAGCATGCCACTATGATCCTGTTGGGGATAACACATAGGCTTCTTCACAGTGTTGGTATTAAAGTAGCAACAAATATGATTTAAATGAAATGGTTAAGCTTTTGTTTTGTTTTGAATTTGCATGCAACTTTAGGCAGCATGTAGAAAAACCAGTCTGGCACTGCCTTAGAGTTATAATTTGTATACGATACACTACCACAGAAAACACTAACTGGATCACAATTCAACTTTATACCTGAAGAAGTACTTCGGCTGGGTTCTCCACGCTTTAACTGATCTATCCTAGATTTTCTTTCTCCCGTGATTTCCAGGCTTTTTGTTTTTTCTCTGTCTCTGGAGCCACTGTGCAGCACTCTTTTCCGACTACCCTGGTCATCCCCACTTCGATGAGCAGAATCATTAGATGGGGAGCGCAGGCGACCAGAGGTGTGGCTACGGTGACTCCGGTTGCTTCCAAGGCTGCTGCTCCTCTTTTGATCCACCAGCTTGCGATGTGGTGGATCTTCTAGGGCCACATGAGATGCTTCCACTTTCTCCACTCGTGTCCTATGGCATTTTCTATGTGAGTCTTCACTGGCATTGGCACTGGAGGTGGAGGCAGAGCTGGAAATAATGGCAGAGGTAGCAACAGCTGAGGAGGCAAGAGCAGTGGATGCAGTACTGGCAACAGCCACAGGAGGCGGGGGAGGGAGAAGAGATGAGAGTGGGGAAGGGGTACTGCCAGGAGTGGCAGTGGCTGCGGTGTGCTCAGGCTCCATGCCCTCTGCGCGGTCAGGCACATCCTCATCCGACCAGTCACTAAAGGCTGTATCTTCCTTCTTTAGTGAATCCTCGAGCAAGCCATCCTTGTCAGTGGAAATGTCAAGCAGTTCCTCCTTGATGGCCAGAGGGGGCGTGCGCGGGCCTCTCTTCTTCTTGTTCTGTGGGGCCGACTCTTCATCAGAGACATCAGAATCACCTTTGGATCTTTTACGCTTTTTCTCAACGTTTTTCTTCTTCTGTCCTTTTTTTGGTGAAAATACTTGAGCATCTTCAGATGTCTCAAGGTTGCTCCTCTCTAGTCCAACATCATCCTCCTTTTTCTTCTTAATAGGCTTCTTTGGAGCTTTTGCTTTTTTCTTTTCATCGTGGGCTCGATCAGACCCATCGCGGTCGCGGTCTTCAGGCTGGCGGTGGCTAATGAGGTCCTGTGTGCGAGCTCTTGAGCTGTCCACGCTCTCTGCTGGCTCCCTCTGCCTGTCACCAGAAGAAACCTTCTCTCTGAGTTCTTGCTCCTCATAGCGCCTTGAACTCTCTCTCCTTTCTGATTTACGATCCTCCTCTTTCCATCTACCCTGCCTGTCTTCTGGGAGGTGGGATGGGCTGAGAGAGCGAGAATCTTGAGGTCGTACGACCTGGCTCAAGAGTCTATGTTTTTCATCTATACAAAAAATAAAAGCAGTTACATCTCCATTAGGTCAGTAAACAGAACATCATATTTAAACTACAAACTCACTTTTCACTTCAAAATTTTCAAAATGGCAATAAAAATAAAAATACATCTCTAAGTACCAAAATTAGGAAAAGATAGTGGCTTTCTGTAAAATGGGATTCCTGACACACTTTACTTTCTGTAAAATGGGATTCCTGACACGCTTTACTTACACAAGGACAATTTAGCAGCACAGAAAAGAAACATTTTCAAAGGCCTGACACATCAGTTGCAATCAGCGTCAAAGATGAGCTCATGCTACAACGAGCATGTACATCAGAAAAGCTACTCACTTTTGTCATCCCCACTGTGGTAGGCGTCACTGTCTGGAGAATGCTCTCGCCTGCGCTTGGGGGACTGCCGGGGGCTGGGACTCCCTTCGTTTCTATAACGTTTCCTAAATTTGGACAAATACAAGTTATAAAGTTCCACAGGGGAAAAGAATACTCTGCTCTTTACCTGCATTTCTTGACTCTAAGTAGAATTACAATCACAGAAAAGTAGCACTGTCAGAGTTGTGCTCACAAAAGGCAGTTTGCTACAATGTAAAACTGAGTTAAAACCCACAGGGACTGTTCCCTCTTCACACACATGAAACACTCAAGGGAAACCTGCCAGATCTAAACACAAGCTGGTAACATCCCGCAGTAAAATCAATAAAATAATGTACTCTATAATACAACTTGTCAATTTTATGTGTCTCATGCCGGGGGGAAAAAAAGGGGCAAGAAAAATCTAGAATCATTTTAGGAGTTAAAAAGCTGTGAGTGTGACTTACAGTCACAGTACTTTCATGTACCCTAAGTAAGTTCCGTGAAGTCCCCAAATCTTAGTTCTGTCATCTGAAACTGGGGCAAAAACGCAACAGCCCTTCTCTTCAGACTAAAGTGAGTTAAATTAGTTATAAACGTACAGAACCATGTGGGCACATTGTGGAAACACTGTAAAAATTCCCTTTATCACCACAGAACTAAATCACTTGCTTAATGGCAAGTCAAGACATAATCCAGGTACTCGCTGTATCTGTTACTGTAGCTAACCTTTAGCTGAGCAGGAGCTTAAACACCTGGGGTAGATTATCCTACTGCTTTCTCACATGCTCATAAAGTCTGACCTTTTAGTCACCCAAGACTAAATTTCTAAGAGTTAACACTGTTTCTAGATACCAGGGCCAAAAGCTGAGAAAGTAGAACAGCTCCTTACACATATGAGTGAACATAAGAGCAGGGACAGCCCCAGGAATAGCGTGACAATTCACAGGACCCAGCTCTACTAGAGCTGGTCTGTCTCCATAATGTTTAAATTTGGGTCGGCTCGGACTTGCTATACACAAGAAAATGGACTATAAGTCACACTGTATGAACATGGAGGACTCAAGGACTCCTGTCAGCCTAAGGATCATGTGGAGGAGAAATAAGACAGTGGGATTGCTAGACCTGTGATAAAGGCACACCGGGCCCTCCAGGCCTTGTGAGCGTTCGAGTCAACTGCAGACGCACCAGCAGTCTGAGTGACAGCAGCAAGAGACACACTGAGCCCACTAGGACATGAGAAAGAAACTGCTCACGTCAGGGCAAACTGTTAACAGCAAGGGGTAGCTGAGGAACTAGGATAAAGCAGAACTTAAAACTTCAGAAAAACCATTTAAATTACTTTTAAGAAAACCTGAAATTAGAATAATAAAACAAACACTATGGTAATTCAGCAATCCTACATAAAACAATGTTTCCCCATTTTTTTTAAAGTTGTAGGTCAGTTCAGAGAACCGAGATGAGAAAGCAATGAAAAGACGAAGTTATTAGTCTCATTTAACTATTTCTGGTTACAGGGAGCAGCATTCCTAACTTTCTCTTTTCAATTTTTGGGTTGGTTAGATATAAAACAAGAATCAAAAACACTGCTTTGTAAGACAGTAGACACATGAAAAAAAATATTAACCAAAGCACGAAACCACATGAAAGAGAAAGACTTAAAAATTTTAATCTTAGGAGACAGAACTAAGAAGAAATGTACATTTGCCTACAATGTCTGAAGTTTGCATTCATTATTCTTAATGCGGAGAGAGGGAGACAGAAAAGAAATAGACAAATATGGAAAAATATAGCCCTGGAATCCATAAATAGAACTCAGAACTATGTTTCTAGACAACTACAAACATTTTAAAGACCAAATAAATGTATGCACACGAATAGGCATGCATACACATGAAGTGATTGCGTTACAGTCAGTGGAGAGGGGCAGGAAGGACATTGGACTCTACTGACACTTAGTCCCGCCCTCCTTACTTGGCTTTCCTCTCCTCGTGGCCTTCTCTGAGGCTCCGGTCCTCCCGGATGTCCTCGCGCTTCTCCCGGCGGTCATCGCGTCCCCTGTCTTTGTCTTCCCATTCTCTTTGCCGTTCTCGCTCTTTTTCTCTTTCTCTTGCCCTTTCTCGCTCCCTCTCTCGTTCTCGTTCTCTTTCACGCTCCCGTTCACGTTCTCTTTCCCTCTCTCTCTCTTCTCTTTCTCGCTCCCGTTCTTTTTCCCTCTCCCGCTCCCTCTCTCTTTCTCGCTCTCGATCATGGTCACGATCTCTCTGATCTCGCTCTCGTTCTCGCTCCCTTTCCCTCTCTTTCTCTCTCTCTCTTTCCCGCTCTCTAGCTCGTTCTCTTTCTAGTTCTCTTTCTCTTTCTTTCTCTCGCTCCCGATCTCGTTCCCGCTCTCTCTCGCGCTCCCTTTCTCGCTCCCGGTCCCTGTCTCTGTCCCGAACCCGCTCCTCTCTTCTCTCCTCCACTCTGTCTACTCTCCGCTCCTCTCTTCTGTCCTCACGCTCGAGCTCCTCGCTCCTTCCCTGATGTCGAACAGGTGAGCTTGGTCTTTGATCTACAATAAAAATCAAGTTTGTCAGTGATTGATTTGTCAGACAATCTATAGGTGATCTCACATCTTATCTGAATAGAGTGTCAGGCTACAGTAGGAACAAATTATAGACCAGGTACTGAACTTACTTTTAACTTCATCGTCTAACCTTTAAACACTATATTCTTAACGATGATGTTCACTTGCCCTCTAGCGACCCTGCTTTCTGCTTCCCACCAATCCCTACCCTGCACTGATGTATCTTTGATTTCACTCCGCATGCTCCCACCCTGTCTGCAGCCCACTACTTCAACCCCACTTCTGTCATGTCTGTCCCCCAGCAGGATCTGAGAACACTGGTGGCAAAGGATAGGGGCAGCAGGAGGTGTAGAATACAGGAGCTGAAGGAAAAAGAACTCCCTCTAAGTTACACCTCCAGTTTCAGCCCCAAATACATACAGACCAAAGTACAGATGTGAGAAAATAAGGAACAAACAGAAGTTTAAAACTTGTGGCTGCAATATTAATTTCTAGTAAGCTAGAGTTAGAGGTACTGATGCCTCCAAATCTTAAAATAATCAAATTTTCAAAATGATTGACTCATTGTCTCTCACGTATTTCTCTCTTCCCAGTCTTCACAAAAACCCCATAAACCGAATACATGCAGCTCAAATGCCTGGATGAACAGGAAACTAATCTGGGATCAAAAATGTGCACTGGGGTGCAGCACAGGCTCTTCTCTAAAGAGACAGCCCCCTTCAACAGCAAACATGAGGACGTGCTCTAGGACACTGTAGTCCAGAAGGCCACTTTTATGCTCTATAATAATGTCTACTGACACTGTAATCTCGGAGATTACTTTCATACTTCATAATGTCTACTTGCTGGTTAATCAGTAAATCATGCTACAGTATGTTCAACAGGTTGGCAACTAGAATGTCTAATCATTTTAGAATATTTCTAGGTTTAATTTAGTAACTTGAATTTGCCTTATCCCTGACTGCATTTTAAAAAAGGAAAAATTAAAAAAAGCTAAAAAGTAACATTTGTCTACATTTACTCTTTATGAGTTTCTAGGTTTCTTTCAAAAGTTCATAGATTTTTCAAGCTCAAACACGATGAAATCCTGCTCAGTCTTTACTATTCTTTCTATAAAACCTTAGCAGCTTTGGTGTGGAAGTGACTCTGGTAACTTTGCCAGAGTTACTCAGAAATACCAGAACCAAAAGTCTGCTTTCCTCACTCCTTTCTCCTTTTGCTGAAATTCATTACAACTTGAAATGAATCTACTGCATCACAACTGTTTTTTCCAGCAGACCAAGTTTAGGAGAAATTTCTAGTTTGGTGATTATAACCAAAATCACCATTACGAAATAACCACACCCAATATGACAGTTTCCCAATAGTTCCTATCTGTGACCTCTGACACAGCAGCACCAAAAGCTCGAGAGCCCAGCCACTTCCTTAGCAGATGAAACCTTTATGATCCCAGCCAAAACTTCCCATCTTAAAGAAAAATACAAAGGCCCTACAAGTGCCACAGCACCACGCCAAACTGGCATCCTGTTCTCGCCCCTAAAATGCCCTTTTCAAAGACGCATTTCTTCAATGCTTCCCAGTCCCATTCTACACAGCACGCTGACTTCATCCTAACACTTTCTTTCTCAGCCCCATCTCTACAGTTGCTTCCTTACTACAGAACTTGTTCAGCTCTTGTCAGATGATGACATCGCCAACAGTTCAAGTGGTCGGTGTCGGCCTTCAGTTCCCCAACTGGATGATGCACATTTCTCACAAAAACCCAGACAGACCCACGTGCTTAAAACCAGTTGTCTGTAGCCAGTAAGAAGCACTGGAATCTGACCATTCCAGTCTGGCCTAGAGGTTGTTTATAGTTGTGTAAAGTCCCTTTGTAATTTTTTCCTCCAGCTGCTCTGCTACCTACTACAGAAGCCCTCACCGCAGCCCCATAACTTAATGTTTGCTACTTGGGAGCAGACGAGTCTCTTTTGGCCTGTATGGCTACTTACTTCATCAATACCAATTCTACACTTTAACACTGTTCCTTCCAGCAAGCTTACACAATTTCTGGGCTAATACAGACAATACCTCTTTACTTAAGAGAGCTTTCTCGGCATTCCATAGAATTGTTACTTTCCCACAGTCCTGGCAATCACCCCACCTCAGCTGTCTGTATGCACTGGGAAAATACACGTGGGCATACGTCAGCATACTACAGCCACACCAGTCTTCTTTCGTTCTCTGAGACGTGACAGCGTAGTTACTTCCCATCTCGGGGATTTGCATCTACTCTTTAGTCTCAACAGAATCTGTTTTCACTTTGCAAAGCAGTGACTTGAAACAGATTTGAAGAACAACCCCCCAGCTGTTGAGCACTAAAGGGCATATGGCTGTCTGACTAACCTCGCTCCCGGTTGTCCCGCCGGTCTCTTTCTCCATGCCTTCTCTCAAAAGAAGCATCCCTGGCTTGATCGCGAGCGTCTCTCTCAGGGTATCTGTCTCTCTCGGGATAGCTGCTCCGCGTTTCCCAGCTGTCATGGTAGTTGCTGCTGCTACTGTGGCTATCCATTTGGGAACTTCTTGTGCCTCGACTTCCTACACAAAGGATGTTCAAAATATTTAACAGACACATTTTATGCAACAAGTTTATCAGTCACAATCTTTATTCAAAGCAGAATAAAGTTTTAATTTTTTAAATTCTAAAATGTTATAAACACTGTCGAAAAAAACAAAACAAAACAAAACACTATGTGGGTCAGAGACCCAAGTTGTCTAAAGACTGCCTACAGCATAGTAAGTTAGGCCGTAGTTTGTCCTATCTATAAGGAAGACATCTGATGGAAACAAAAAGCTGTAAGGCTGACTTAAACTCCCAAAACAGTAAGAAAAAAAATTTCAAAAAACTACTTCTTCATATTTAATAGAAACATCATGAAAAGTTGGAGAAAACAGGTATATATATATTATTTTAATTGTATGTTTGTTATGAAAATATTCCAATACAGAACCAAGGTAATTTGATGAAATGAAATAGTAACCAAAATTTATTAAAAGCTGTGGAAAGTAGGCATGGCTGAACAAGTCTACAATCCCAGCACCTGAAAGAATGAGATAGGAGGAACGGGAGAGCAAAGCCAGGCTACAGGAAGACTTAAGTCTCAAAACAAAACAAAAATTCAACAAAGAAAGATATGAAAAAAATAAATGTTCATTTTTCTAAGTATTGTAATTCATAACAGTCACCACACTGGAAGGTACCTGAACTTCTCTCAGCAGTGAAGAGTTAAACAAATGGTGTAAATCTACCAATACACTTGGCCATAAAAAGGAAAAACTGTCAACAGATTGGAGGAAGATTGTGCTAAGTGAAAAAAGCCAGTGCCAACAAAATGCATACAGCATGACTTCATTTATAAAACATTCATGAAACAAGAGATCTGTCAGAGAGTTATAGGAGTCCAGGATGCGGAAGGAATGGGTGTGGCTACAAAGGAACAACACATGAGAATCTTTCAACAGTGTAATGATTAACCTGATTAGAAGGCAGTATGACTATTCATGTAACCGTTATGTACACACTTGCTCATGTACACAGGCTTTGTGGCCAAGATACTTTCTTCTTTTGATGCTGTGCTAAGATGTTAACACTGGCAAAGCCAGTGCACAGAAGCTTCCCTTTCATTTCTTTGTAAGAGCCTATGAATTTTTGATTCCTTCCAAATATATTTTAATATTTATTTATTCAGGTTTTTCAAGATAGGGTTTCTCTGTGTAGCCCTAGCTGTCCTAGAACTCACTTTGTAGATCAGGCTGACCTCAATCTCACAGAGATCCACCTGCCTCTGACTCCCAAGTACTGGGATTAAAGGTGTATGTTATCACCACCCAGCTATGATTTTTAAAATTTAAATATGCATAAAATTTTAATAGGAAAAGGTATTAAATAATATGCCAAATATATTTTAAAGAAAAATTCAACAGCTTTTCATGAAATTGCAAAATTTTCTAATATTTACATGAAAAAGTAAAGAACGAAGAAAAGTCTAAAAACTAGGCTTAATGGTACATGTCTATATTTCCAATACTAGAGAAAGAAGGGCAAGGAAGATCTCAAGTTCAAGACCAATCTAGGTCATATGTCAAGATCAAAACAAACAGAAAAATTCCCTGAAACAACAGCCAAGACAATTATAAAGAAGCCAAAAGACTTTCACACTTAAATGTGTTTCCCCAAAAGGACTAGAGCATCAAGCCAGAGAGAGGCACAAAGAGATGGGAATCTGTGGTGCTTGGGAAGAGGTTAGAGGAACAGATCAGGAAGGATTAAATGATTAAATCTCAGTAGTTGAGAAACAGTCACAAATATTTCACAGTTCTTTGGATTAAGAAAATGACACATGATGGTTTGAACCAAGTAATAAATACTGAATACATAAATCAATTACTGAATACATAAATCAATTACTTTGGCATCAATTTTGAAAATATATCACTTTAACTTTACTTGAATAAGCATTTGATCACATATACATCAGTTAATTAGAAATTATCTTTTTGTGATTTTGTTGTATTTGTATCAATTTTCATAGTGTTCTACATCAGTCAGTACAGTGGGATGATTACCCAAACACTACTTGTTAGTAATTAGTTTTTTCATTCAAGCTGGTAATTCCAATGTGGAATTTAACTGACTGCAAATTACTCTCACAAAACGCTAACAATAGATGTACACAATAAGACATTTAGAAAAGAAACCTAAAGAAAGTTAATGTTTTCTATATGAATATTCAAGATACAGTTCATTAACATGCCAAACACCTTACCCTTTTCAGGCAATTCTGGTCCTCTCCCCCTACTTCTGCCCATCCTGTCATTTCTAATTTCACTTCGAGACTCATTTCTAGAGTCATTCCTTAGTTCAACTCGAGAGCTCTCCTCTCTCAGGTGGTTTCTGCCATAACTGCGGGCTTCTTCCTGGTACACATCCTCCTTCCGGTGACCATCGCGAGCATCGCGAACATCTCGAGCATCCCGAACATCTCGAGCATCCCGGGTTTCCCGAACATCCCGGATTTCCCGAACATCGCGAGCATCCCGAACATCCCGCACATCCCGCACATCCCGCGCATCGCGAGCATCTCGAGCATCACGAGCATCCCGAACATCCCGAACATCGCGAACTTCCCGAGCATCCCGAACATCTCGAATTTCCCGAGTATCCCGAGCTTCACGGTCTCTGTAGTCATGTACATCCCGAGCTGACCGGGAATCTCTGGGATCACGGCTCTCCTTGGTATCTCTGCCATAGTCTCTCATCTCTCTGGAGTCCCGGATGTCTCTGGAGTCTCTTAGTTCCCTACGGTCTCTAGTATCTCTCCGGTCCCGGCTGTCTCGAGGTTCTCTGTCATCCCTATGGTCATGTTCAGACTCTCGGTCTTCTCTGGTGTCCTTTTCTCTATCCCTTTTGCCTCGAGTTTCTGTAACACAGTTTAGGAAACAACTCTAATACTGTTCACAATTTCAGGGAACTAGACGATACATGTCACACACAGCATTTAAGATTTATTACAAAAAGAGATTCATGTTAGAAAAAGGCAGAATAAAGGGTAAATGACAAAATTAAACCAGATGTGATGGCACATGCCTGGGGCTGCCTGGACTACTCAGTGAGCTGAGGTTCAGCGAAAGAGCGTCTCAACAACAAGGTGGACAGCAATAAGGGAGACACCAACAGATGCACACTCAGTACTCCCAACTGCATACATATGTGCACACATAGGTAAACATGGATGCATGCAGACAGCACAATACATAAAGCACACAAAGATATGAGTTATTATTCTATAAAGCATCTAGCCTGAACTGGTGACCCACACCTAGAAACTGCAGGAGTTGGCCGCTGACCTGAGAGCTTCCCCTGGCCTTGCCTTTTATCACACTTTCAGCTCTCATAAACTTGGGTAAATTATCTGCTGCATTCCTTCCTTTCACCTTCCTTGGGTTGTCTGTCTGTCTGTCCTATGCTGGGGACTAATCTTTGCGGTCTTGCAAATACTAGGCGAGCACTCTGCCACTGAGCCAAGTCCCCAACTCATTTTTCTCCTTTTTTTTTTAAGTTACATAGAAAGCAATAAATTAACACTCAAACAGCCAAAAGTACTCATTAAAAGGGCTTAGAAGGTACCAACTTACATACTTCTAAGTGCCTACTGGTACATACTTAATACTTTACATGACCCAGTCCAGATGTCACAGAAGACTCAATAGAACACAATCCTCTTCTATTCCTCATGTAATGATAAATATGGATATGCAACTTTAAAATAAAGTACAAGAACTCTGAGAAACAAAAGCTCAAACACAGAGCATACCTTCCCTCCTTTCGTGACGCCGATCATGTGACTGTGAAGTCCGTTCATGATCATGCCTCCCTTTTTCTCTCATTGGAGAGCGATGTCTTGGAGGACTCTGCTTCCTCTGAGGAGAAGACAGGCAATGTGTTGGGTAAGGAGAGGCGGAACGCCGTAAAGAAGGAGTTAAAGTCCGCTGGTAGGATGGGGAGGGAGTCCTTTTCCGACGAGGAGAAGGTGAATGTCTCTGAACAGACGATCCTGACTGCGAGGAGGAGGAGTGATGTCTAGAAGACAGAGGAGAATGGTGCTGTCCTGGGGAGGAGGACCTATGAGTAAACACAAGAAACTTGTTTAAGAGTTTTCAATTCCAGCCACAGAAAGTTCTTAAGATGAGATATAAAATGAAAGCTGGAAGTGGAAGTACAGGCAATAACCCAGAATAAACTTTAATTCACAATGCTATAAAATTACAATCACTTACATTTTAAAGATGTAAGTGATTTATGAGTCAAGTGCAAACAAAAGCTCTAGAAGAAATCCTGGAGATGAACCTACAACCATCAGTTTACTAAGCCAGAATAATCCCCAACTGCGTTCTGTGTCTTTATACCCACAAGGGCAACAGAGACCATTACAGGAGACCACAACCAATCAAAATGCAGACCTGTGGAGCCTGGTCCCAATAGAAACATTCACAACACAACTCCTACAACTAAGGCTCAGGAAACAGTGGAAAAAGCCAGAGGATCATGGAGTTTGCTGTGAGACTGGATCTCCTGGAAATGTCAGAAGCTAAACCCATAAAGTCTCACCAACATGACTGCTAAACATGAGCTGAACAAGGATGGCACCAAGAGACATGCTAACGTGGACGGGGTGAGTCATGAGGCCTCAAACCTAGACAAACAACTACCAGCACTAACAAATACTCAGAGCAGGAGAAACAGCCTTCCCTAAGAGCATATCAATTGGTCATCCAATACCAAATGGTCAGCCCTCAAAATATACAGGCAATAACACTACAGGCTAAAAAGGTTGTGTTTATGTAGCTAGGAACATGCATTCATGCAAACACCAAAGAAAAAAGAGGCTATAAATTTGAAAGAGAACAAAGAAAAGTACATGGGAGGATTTGGAGACAGAAAAGGGTAGGGAGAGATGATTTAATTATATTATGATTCCTAAAACAAAAAATAATATTTAAAAATAAAAAATGAAGAATGACTGCCGCTGAACTTCAATTCTCAATTTCTTTCTAGGTTACACTTAAAACTGACTCAAGAGGTCCTCTCAAGGCTGGGGCCTCGGTTCTGGCAACATGGCTAAATGTACCACAAAGGCCGGAGCGTTAAGAAATATAGGACCTGCTATGGTGCCTTCCTCCGGAAAATGGTGAAGAAACTGAAATCAGCTAGCATGCCAAGACACTTGTTCCTTCTGTGGCAAGACCAAGATGAAGAGAAGAGTTGCTGGCATCTGGCACTGTGGTTCCGCATGAGAACAGTGGCTGGCGGGGCCACTGCAACACAATCAAGTCTGCCATCAAAATACTGAAGGAACTGAAAGACCAATAAGAAATGCTACCATTTGAGATAGGCCTATTCTGCAATAAACTGTTTAAATTACATTTAAAAAATGGATTTAAGAGTATCTATAATATTCTTTGATGATTAGCTCAAAGAATATACACACAAAAGTCCCAGTAAATCCACAGTATCTTTAAAACAATACTATGTAACACATTTCTATTAGATCTTGGTGCCTAAAAGGAAAACTACAGTTTAAGCTTAAAATAATCAAAATTAAATTAAAGCCCAAATACTATCACCAAATAATGACTTTATCATCGTAACCATATTTTCTTCTCATACATTCTTTTAAGTTTCAGAAAATACTGATTTTAAAGAGCCTTACATTTTCTTCTCCTCTACTACTTTAAAAGTCAAAGACCAGCCAGGCATGATAGCCCACACCTTTAACCTCAGCAGTCAGGAGACAGAGACAGGTGGGTCTCTGTGAGTTTAAGCCCAGCCCAGGAAACAGAGTGAGCTCCAGGACAGAACTACATAATAGAGAGATGCTCTTTTTCGTTCACCCCCTCCCCTGCAAAAAAAGTCAATGACCAAGAAGCTCTAGAGAAAAAGAAAAATTGCAATCAAGACAGGAAGTGGCAGCTATGGTTGAGAGCCTGAATGGACCCGAGTCTCCACATGCACTGTTTATATAAAAGGTTTGAGCTAAGTAATGAAACTGGCTTGCTCTAAAATACAGTAGAACTATATAAGCATTGACACTGAAAATATGAGGTATGAATCTAGCCAATTCTACTGCATAATCCCAAGTTTCTGCCATTTTGGTAGAAAAACAGCATTTATAATTTTTGCTTAGTTTTAAGAGTATTTTTTCATTTAGTCCTGACTTGAATCCAATGAAGTGTATTATGGTTATTTTGCAGCTGAATAAATGTCAAAGACCAAATAATTTGCTTAGGATTTTGTATCAAAGCAATTTACTTGATTGTAAAATGTCTGTCCTGATCACGTAACTTCAAAATTTTGATTACATGAAAAACTCAAGAAGATTGGCCACTCTCTTGAGAAGCCTACACCTTTCACAGAAGAGTGTTGTATCCTTTTCCCGCGCCATTCTCTCCTTTAGTTCCTGTTTAAATCCTCCTTTGCAGGGGAGGGATTCATGAGATGGCCAGAGCAGGACCGAGTAACTTCCTCTATCAATCCCTGCCTTACTGCCTAGAAATGGGTCTCTCGCTGAACTAGGTTGGCTGGCTGACCAGCTAGCTCTCAGGACCCATTTGTCTCTACCCCACAGTGGTAGGGCTACAGACATATGTAGCCATGTTTGGCTTTCTGTTTGCACTTGAGAATTGAGCTCAGGTGTTCTTGCTTGCAGACCACCACGCCATCTCCCTATTTCTTAAAATGTTTCTAAATCCTGTTTGAGAAAGAGAGAGAAGACAGAAAGAGACTGAGATCGCTGGAAAGAAATATGCTTTTCCAAGGGAAGCATCAAATTTACAGAAGAATTAATCTGAAAAACAATCAAGAATGAATCTGGCTCTCATCAAAGTTGTGTTTCACAAATCTTTTTTTTTTTGTGTTTCACAAATCTTATAAACAAGGAAGAAAATGAACATACGGAAATCTTCAACAAAGCACTAGCAAAGTAATTTGAACAGCATGTTAAAAGTGCACACACCATGACCACATGGGTTTATTCCTTGAATGTAAGGGTAGTGTAACATTTTGAAAAATGAGTAATAAAATATACCACATTAACTAAAAGAAGGAAAAAATCATTCATGCATACTAATTCACAAAAATGTCTGACAAAATTCAACAGCATTTACTAGTACTCAGTAGAGCTGAGCATGGTAGCACACACCTTTAATCCCAGCAGCACTCAGAAGACAGAGTTTAAGGCCTCTGCAAGTTCCAGGCCACCCTAGTCTACATAGCAAGCTCCAAGCCAGTTAGAGCTACACAGTAAGGTCCTGTTTGAAATAATGATGATAATAATCAATAAGCCATTTATGAAAGGCCCACAGTTAATATACCACTTAACAGAGAAAGATGGAGGCTTTTCCTATAGACAAGGATGACAGCAAGGGTGCTCTTTCTATTCAACATAGTTTGCAATATCTTAGCCAGAAAAATAAATAAATATCCTCTAAAAGGGAAGGAAAGTAAAAATATTTGTAGATGACAATATCCTGCACGTAGGAAACCTAAATTCTCCAAAAACAAAACAAAATCCTTTTAGAATAAATGAGTTCAAATAAAGTTATAGGAGAAATGACATAAAACATCAGCTATGCTTTTACACACTACAATAAACAAACTAAAAAGGAAATTAAGAAAATACACTTATAGCACATCCAAAATAATAAATTTAGGAATATTAAAAGAAGGTAGCAAAAGACTGTTAAAAAAACAAAATAAAAAACAAGAGATTTATTAAGCTACCCACACTATAAAAGCAATCTATAACCAAAGCCTTTCAAAATTCCAATAGTTTTTTTTTTTTTTACAAGAGAAAATTTGTATCCTAAAAGTTATGGAAACCTAGGGGAACTCAAATAAAGAGCCAAAGTAATTTTTAAAAAGATTGAAGTTGGAGGTTTCACTTTCAGAATTCAAAACATAGTACAGAGATATATTTAAAAAGCACAAAGTTGTATTTATAGTGACCGTCCTAGCGGATTTGAGTGTTATCTCATACGCATACATTTGTGCATGGAACACATACAAAACCATGCAGTAGAATGAGTAAGTGCTCAGAAACAATCACTCAAACATATGCTCAAATGACCTTCCACAAAGAGGTCAGAATTAATTAAACAGGAATAGTCATTTCAACAAATGTGATGGCAAACTCAACCTCCAGACGACCTTTCAAATCCACACATCAAAACAATATAAGTCTCAAAAGAAAACAGCAGAAAACTTTATGTACTAGACTTGGCAGTATTTCCTGAAGAGATATTTAGAGACCCATGTTAAAACAGTCCTATTTAAAAACAACCCAAAGGCGAAACCTTCTTCATGAAGGAATGAACAAACAAAGTATGATTTGCACCATATGAAATATTACTCAGCCTTATGAAGAAGAAAAATATGCCACGTGCTACAATATGGATGAACTCTCCAGACATTATACTAAAGGGAATATTCTAGTAAAATATTGCATGATTCTGCCCATGAGGAGTCAAAGCCATTAAATTCACAGAGACACCAGAATGTGTGTGGGAGAGTACCGTGTGACGAACGCAGTTTCAAATGTACAGAACGACATTCTGAGGATGTGTCTCACACTGCCATTCATACATGCCAACTTTACACATCTAATATGGCTATCATTTTCCACTTTCACTTACAGTAAATACACTAAAATAATTTGATGTTAAATAACACATAACTCACGACTCATTGTAGAAACTATTAAACAATATATACAGTTGAAACAAAAATAATTGTAAAAAGCCACACAGCTTCTGCACGGTCAGAAGTCTTGGTTTTACATAAATATTGACTAAACAATTCTACTTACCTTGGCTTGTCTCTTTTTTCTCTTTGCCTTTCAAAATCCCGTCCTCTGTCCTTTCCATCTCTTGGTTTTTCTTCTATCCTGTCTTTCACTTTATACTTTTCTTTGTATTTCTTCCCCAGAATGATATCTTCCAGTATAGGAGGAGGTGGACTAGGAGTACGTGGCCCTTTCTTTTTACTTTGGTTGCTTTTTGAAGTCCTGAAGGTATACAAAGCTATAGTTAGAAGTCTCAATATTTCTGGAACCACACCTGGATATTTTAAAGTGCTTCTTAAAAATCAGCAACCTTCTTTTCAATTACTTGTCCATTCACTACGCTGTATACTAACAGCCAATATGCAGGGGAAAAGTGAGAAGGAGCAAAGAACTTATTTACTGTTTTTTTCTAAACAATGCTTGTTAGTGATGTCATTCCAAAGGGTAGTTTCTAAGAGAAGTTAGGGACAGTGGAAGAGTTTCAGGAAAAGATATAACATTATAAAAACAACTGCTAAAGCTGCATGTTTTTAGCCCATATATAAACATAGATGAAAAAGGTGAGCATCATGAGGTGCAATGATGCATGCCTGCAACCCCAGCACCTGGGTGCCAAGGTGATGCATGCATGCAACCCCAGCACCTGGGTGGCCATGGTGATGCATTCCAGCACTTGGGTGACTAAGGAGAGAATGCTGTAAATTCAAGGCCACCCCATGCTTCACAGAATTCTAAGTCAGTCATAACCACAAAGCAAGAAATACAAAAGGAAAAATACCATACCAACATAACATTATAAAGATCTTTAACACACTTCAATATCTCTCTGTCTCTTCCTTTTAATATCTACTCATTTAAAACTAGATAGTCATGTACAAAACAAAAATGAAGCTAAAATTTTATCTTGGATCACATACAGAAATTAATTCAAACTGTATCAAAGACCGAAACATACAACCCCAAATTTAAAATTCTTGAAGAAAACATGAAGGATAAACACTTCACTTGGCAATGGTTTCTTGGCCACAACTGTGTTGCAGAAAAGCAAGAGGTGCGACTGTAGCAACAACCTCCAGGGGCTTCTCCCAGAATCTCACATTTGTCTTCAATTGGATATTTTTAAGTCACAGCCATTTGACTAATTCCATACTTAATCATTTCAATGTACATGAAAATCTTTCCTCCCAAAAATGTCTTTACACAGACTTTTTCCAATTTCAAAACAACAACAATGAAAACCTAAACCCATCAATGCAATATTCTTATGAATGTGCTAAGTTTATGAATCTAATTTTCTAAATTTATTCCTGCTTTCTGTATGGACAATTCTGAATACACCATCTGCTCTTAGTTGTCCAACATTTTCTTAGGACTTTAAGGAGCCCCTTGACTTCACACTTCGAGTAAGGTTCCAGTGGAGCTTATTTCATATGACCTTGAGTTTTCTGTAGTCCCAAGATTCACTGAATATATTATTATAATGGATAGCATAGTCCTCAGAATTGCTGGTAAGATGTTAAAAAGATTAAAAGCATAAAAGCATTTGACTCATGGTTAGTCTTCAGAAAATTAAGCTCTCTTGGTCCATATCCCTCTGTTATTAGTGTAGATAACACTTACATAAGTAAGAGAGTCTTAAAATCTGATGACCGAATCTCTGCATCCTTGTCTTCTACCAACAACGGTAATAGCTGCAAACCTCAATACATCATGAGATTATAGAAACCTTTTGTGCACAACGTCATAATAAATGCCTCTATTTCTAAACTTTTGCCCACTTTAAAGGAAAAACAGACAATATTTGTCATTCATTCTAAGATTTTAGAGATGAATATATGGTGGAATCCTTCATAAAAATTTATTTCCACATTATTCCACATAATAGACACAAGCTGCATGTTCACTGGTCTTCCTCCTGGCCCAGCACTAAACTCTCTACAGTACAGTTCTCTGAAATGACTCTTCAAGGATTTCCATATGCCAGGCTACTGTACGCCACAGAGCTAAGTAAACACAATATCCATTTATTTTCCTTATATATTCATTCCATTCTCTCAACTTCTTTGAAAGCCCAAGAAAATTTCAACATGGCCCACGGGTACACGTTTGCCCACGTGTGTGGAGGCTAGAGCCCAGGTTCACATGTCACCCTACGAGGGCTGCCCACCTCCGTTGAGGCAGGGTCCCTCATTCGCCGGTAGCTCACCAATGAGGCTAGTCTGGCTGGCCAGCTTCCTTCCTACTCTCCACAGAGTCTCCACAGTCAGGGACTACAAACGCACACCACTATGCCCATCTGTGTATGTGGGCTCTGGAGAGCAAGCTCAGGCTCTATGCTTGCAGGTCAGCACTTCAGTGACTGTCCATCTCTCCAGTCCAGAAACACCCAATTTGATTCCACATGCCTGAGAAACTGCTGCTGTGTTAAGTCACCAACATCTTAGGATGCAGTTGCTACCATAACCAGAAATGCCTTAAAGAACTTAATAAGGGCAACACCAACGTGCACGCATGCAGGGGTGCGTATAAAATAACTACAGAAGAGCTCGAGAGAGGGCGGAAGGACGCAGGACAAGTCAGAGCCGGGAGAAGGAGAAGTAGCACACACAGTGAACACATGGATGAAATTCTCAAAAAGTAGTAAAATTGGAATTTCTTCATATCGCCTTTAAAAACACAGGGTTGGAAAGCAAAATTCTATTATACTGCATTGTTTTCCAAATGAAGGGACTGAGCTCAGCAAGATCGTTCACCATTTTAAAGTCTGCTGGGTATTTTTTTAGCAACATAATACATTATACGTCCTACTCATGGCATAGAGTCCACTGTCTACCTTTATCATCTTTATATTACTCTGTAACTATTCTGAGCAACTTTAAACACAGTTCATATTTGTCTTTATAAAAGTATCTAGATAGAAAACTTTACCCAAGTTAAAAAAGCAAATGGTCAAATCAGAGAAAATGCATTTTATTCAAAAATCACTCTGTAATGTGCATCTCCCGATACCAGCACACTACATCTTAGAATGAGCACCAAAGAAAGCATCAGCTTTCAGAGAAAGGTATGACTTAACTTGCCAGTAATTACATCTATCCATTATGCTAACCTAAAAAGATCAATGAGTCTGTCACTCAGTTGATTTACTAGCATTGGTTGAAATACCCTATTCAGTTTTAACAGAGTCCCATCCTTGAGTTTAGTACGTCTTCAAACAGTCTATAGTATGACTAGGCAATGAAATTAAAAGTTAGCTACCTGCAGGTTACAGATGTAGCTCAGTGATACAATGATTATGTAGCCCATCCAAGGTTCTCCATTAATTGTTAGAAACACACAGACACACACAGACACACAGCAGACTAAAGGTAATGTAATACTATACAAAGGCTAACAAGGTAACTCAGCAGGTAAAAGTCCTCGCTGTATAAGCCGGTTGACCTGAGTTTGATCCCAGGAGACAAATGACCACCAGAAGTTGAAAGTTGTCCTCTAACCACCATATGCTTGGCATGCTGCAGTATGAGCATGCTCACTCTCCTATACACAATAAGAATAAATATTAAAATTAAACATTATAATTGTGCAGGGTGTGTTGGTGCACATCCCTATGATCCCAGCACTTGGGAGGGTAGTAATACCAATTCAAGGAAGTTTCAGAGATAAGCCTAAGCTACATAAGACTGTCTCAATTAAAAACAAAAAAGCTATACTTAATTTAGTGTTTTCCTTGTATTTTTATAATGTACTGTCTTACAGTACCTTTTTCTCTATATTTTAATGTTACATCTTAAGGGCAGCAACATATTGGAATATAGGAAATATAGCACTTAAACAAATGTGATGAAATTCAAATCAATAAATAAAAGGATAAGATAATAGTAAATAGTAAAAGATTATATGAAAAACAGGATGAAAATCAACGCTTTATATCTAAATAGTTATTAAAAATTTCTATGAGGAGAATAAGCTTCAAGGAGTACATAAACAGAAAGGTAAGAAAATAAAGGCTGCCTGGGTGATATAACCTGTTAGACAAATGGATGAACGGAGAGTAGCTGTACAGTCAAGAAGAAGAAGAAGAAGTCAGGATGGCTCACACCAACCTAAAGGTCACCCTCTTTCAGACCCCTCACAGTATCACTCAGTCCCAGGAACAAAGAGAGGATCCCGAGAGCACCTGTCACAAAGCAAAAGTTCTAAGCAAATGAGGAGCTGTGCAGAGAGAGAACAATGAACCATCAAGAGCCAATTTTCAAGAAGCTCAAATTTAATAATGGTTGTAAAATACACAGGCCATAGCTGAAATATAATGAAAACAGCAATTAGGATGAAAAGGAATCTACAACAATTCTGATGGGGAAAGAAACTATGTAGAGTAAGAAAAAAATGGAGAAACCTAACAGAAAATTTGGAATTTAAGTTAAAGTCTACAGGATTGAGCATTAAGAACTAAGCAGACAGGGCAGAATGAAACAAAAATATTGACAAGATAAAAAAGGTCAAAGTATAAATGTCATTCTTAAGGAGTCTGAGTTTCATTCTGAGGTGAGAAAAAGAGTTTCAACAGCATTGGAATTCTTTTTGGAATTTAATTGGAATTGTTCTTTTAAGATTTCTCTTACAGCATCTAAATTGGTCTGAGGTATTTGAGTGAAAAATCTATCTGCCTTGTTGAGTAGGCCCCATCTTACATAGGCAAAGAGATAAAGGAACTGAAGCCTGAGTTACGGTCTGAAAGCAGAAGACAACATGAGCTTTACTGTGGGGTCAGCTAAACAAGACTTGCCAAATAGTATTAAGGCATGTTTTTAGTTAAAAAAAAAAAAAGTAGTATATGTACCTTAATTCAAACTACATAATAAAGGAGTTGTCTCCTGTCTTGTTCTTAGTCCTTACTGTAATTATATTCATTATTCCTATTTTGATTTCTTTAGCTGACTGCTATATCACGTACACAGTATATCTAATCAATGCACATACTGCTGAGTGCATGCTACTCTCGTGGCATGTAAACAGAGACATAAGTAGAACACTCCCTGTGTATACAATGCTTATAAACTGTAAACAAAGACATGGGACAACAGAAAGATAAATATGTAGTATAAATACTAAAAGCTAAAATATGTTAAGGAAAAAAAAGCAACTTGAATAAAGAAAGTTGCAGGATATATTTGTGTTCCAGTTCGATATATAAAAATAGTACTTACAGACAAGATCTCCTGAGTAAATTGGGACTATGGGGACCATAGGAGAAGGTAGGAGGGGAGGGGAGAGGAAAGAGGGGGAGCAAAGAAAAATATATAGCTCAATAAAAACAATCAAAAAAATAGTACTTACTTTGAAAAGTGATACATATTGTCTAAAGTATAAAAACGCATACATACCACACACACTAATCCCAGAGTTGAAAAGCTCCAGTGTGTGGATGGATATTTGTTTCCTTGTCTCTACGACCCTAAGAAAAGGGCTAGACTAGCACGGCAGAGTCACTCTCTTAGCCAAGCAAGCAGTTCTGTTAGCGGCACTGCAGAAACATCCTGCTCTCCGGCACTGAAATCACCTACTGACCTCTGCTGGTCCAACAGTGGAGAAGCCACCACAGCAGCCTTCCGCTCTTTCTTGCCAGCTGAAGATGCCTTGGGGCTTGACTTCCGCTTTGGCGATTTACTGGACTTTCTCAGAGAGGGCGATGGAGACAATTTCGATCTCACCACTTCTGGGGAAACCTGTCAAATTAGTTATCAAGGCAATTCAGAAACTCGCGGAACCAAAACAAAAGTTGGGGGTGGGGGGAATAAAAACCAGAGCAGTTCCATCCACCAACATGAGACCAACTCCAGAACCCATGCTTTGAACTTATATATTAACTAAGCAGTTCTAGCAAATACAGATATCAAAAAAGTACTTTAAAGTTAAAATTTTGAAAATTTCCTCAGGAAAATCAGAAATTACTTCCAAATAAATTCTATTTCCGTACATTAGAAAAATAAACAGGACAATCTAGAAACATCAGGGGCCTGAGATGCGTAGAACTCATTTTGTATCACGCTGATGGATACAGGCAATGGAGTGTCCGTTTGGTCCAACAGCAAAACCATTTTCCACTTAAAACCTCATGTAAAGATTGAATGATTAATCTTTTATGGTGGCGCTGATATGTGGGGAGCTGAATAGTTTACCACTGTGTTAGTATGAATTAAGCTACAGCTTGGAGCTGACTTCTGTGCTCAATATCCATGGCTATGTTAGTAATACATTCACTTCAATACACATACCTCCTTTTGAATGATAATTTCTTCTCTTTTATCCATGTTTTCTTGTTCCAATTTCATTAATTCTCTCTGTATTTTCTGACGCTTCATTTCCAATGACAACTCATGCACATAATCATAATTAATATCTCCATTGTCAGAATCTTTAAAATACAAATTCCATTATTTGTTAGACACTATTATAATTATGTGTAGAGAATTAGACTTTTCAGTAAACTTTTATAGAACTTTTAAAAGTGTATTCTTTCATTAGAATAATATTTCTATGAAGAACTTAATTCCTTCTGAAAATCTAATATTAAGGTTTCTATATTTTCTGAAAGTGTCCTGTGGCTATCAGATGCGTGGTTTCTGTTACGTGATTTTTAACAGCTAGAATTCAATCTGGGATATAGCAGTGATGGAGCATTTATCTGCTTTGGCCATGGCTCTGAGCCCCAGCACAGAAAAAACTGGATGAAAGCAAAACAAAAGTCACAATTAAAGTACTGAGCTACGCACTGAGGGCACCAAGGCCTTCAATTCTTCGTACAGGATAAGAGGACCTGTGTCCCTGCTTTAGCCTCTTTACTAAGGGAAGGTTAGGCCAGGAATTTGGAACTTCAGTTCTCTATTTCTGCCCTTTTGATTGGGAGAGGACTGATTTGTGTCTAAAAGCAAAGGTAACTAATTTAACATTAATGTGTGTTAATTTTGTTTCTTTGTTCTTTGAAACAGGGTTTCTCTCTGTAAGAGCCCTGGTTGTCTGGGAACTCACTCTGTAGACCAGGCTGGCCTTGAATTGCTGGGGTAAGAGGTCTGCATCTCCTTGTCTGGCCCAGTCCCAGTTGCTAATTTAAGGATTTCTAGCATTTTTGCTTCAATTGACTTAGATTACCTTTTTATGTCAGACCAATCATTCATTCAATGGATCTGGTTGTCACCTTTCATGCCCAGCCTTTTCTGATGCAAAAGATAAGGACTGTCTTTGCTTGTTTGTCTTTTATTTTTAAAGAGTGAAGGGAAGGGGTGTATGTTAAAAGATCTTCTACTGCAATATACAGTTGTTCTCAGTAGTTAGTGGCACTCAACCCCTCATCCAAGACACCCGGAGGAAGGAATCCATTGACTTCCAGTCTAATCCTTGACCATACGTGGCTTGGTCACAAGCCAATGTGTTCCTGTACAGTCTTAGCACTTTAGAACAATTGCCATCCAAAGGTAAATAAATAAAATGAGAAATTAAAAAATAAAATCACTAAACATCATTCACTTGATTACTTTAAACACAAGAAAACAGACTTCATTGCTGCGCATAGTTCAAATGAATTGCAGCACCACTGTCCATCCTGCCTGCTGTGTAACTCTATGTTCACTGCCTGACTGATTACACAGTATATAGAGAGAGTATGACTCTAAGTCATTGGGAAAATATGATATATGTTGACAATAGTATACTTAACACAGAAAAAAATATAGAACAAAAAGATGCCAACACAACAAAGAAAAGCTGATGTTATTTAAACAGATTCTTATTAATTAATGGAAAAGATGATTGAGTACATGGATAAAGTAATTCACACACACAAAAAAGATATAAATGACATATAAATAAATCTTCTACATGTTTTGTAGAACATTTTTATTACAGCATTGTTTGGTGAGGCACAGTAAGGGTATAGTGGTAGAATGGAAGTTAGTATATCTAGCCTGTAAAATGATTTACTAATATGGGTACAAGTCTTAAGAATATTCATACTCTTTAATATCAAAATTGTTTCTATTATTATCTAAAAATAGGCTTTAAAAACTACAAAAAGGATTAAAGACTAAATATTTGAGATTGATTTCCTTGTTTTATGACACACTTTCACTTTAAGTCTTAAGCAAATCTGAGTACAGAGAAATAGGAAATTCCCTTTAGACCACCACAACGGTCTTCATAGTGCCAACACTAATGGCAGATTAGTGCTGCATACATAGAATTCTCAATACAGCAACAGAACTGTGAGGCATACTGGCTCACAGCACTGGGAAGGATGAAGCAGAAGAATGCGTTTGAGGCTAGGGTGAACCACAAAAAAAGATCCTGTATCAAAACAAGAAAAGAACAACGCCCTCACCCACAAAACTACAAACATTGTCGCATATACAAGGTCTCTCCATGTCACACACACACAGCTCAAGTATCTTTACTTTAGTATCTGCAAAGCATTTCATAAGCTAAGTATAACATGGCTTACGCAGCCAGTCTCCTCCTGAGGGATGCCAATGTCTTGCTGCTATACACAGGGCTGTTATAGTAACTGCCTTGATTTAGGAATGCAAGTATTTCTCTATGAAGTTTCTCAAGCTAGGTTTGCTAGAATCAGCATACAGTTTCTGATTTTACTATGGCCAAACTGAACTCACACAATACTTTGCCAATGGAAATTACCACTTAAAAACAGTATTTTTATTTCTGGGAAACTGACGGGTAGACAATTCTGTCTTTGTTTTTAAGAGTCTTTCCCTGAAGCATAGCTGAATACTTATTAGCCATTTCTAGTTCTTAGGCATTATCCATTTAAAATTTCATGAGTTTTTTTAAAAATGGGACTATCTTCTTTATTATCTGTGACAGTTCATTATATGTTTATTTGATATCTTTATTAATGCTTACATATATCAAGTATTTTCTTCTGGTATAACATCTACTTTTAATTTCTTTAGTTATAAAACCATTTTTAAATTTTATGCATTCAAGTCTTCTGTGGCTTTGAGATTTTATAGTTTATTTTAGGATAATGAATCTGCTTCCAAGATTACCAAAGAACTTTCATTTCATGTATTTTTCTTCTCCTGCAATGACTTTTTTGGTTGTTTTTTTATTTTTTGTTGTTTTTCTACATGATGAATAAATAAGAGAAGAATTAGGAAGCAAGAAGGAAAAAACATCATAGGAGAGGGAACATGGCAGCAGGCAAGCATGGGGCTGGAGCAGTAGCTGCGAGCTTACACCCTTATCCACAAGTTGGAGGTAGAGAAAGCTAATTGAGAACGGCTTTGGCTTCTGAAATCTCAAGGCCCATCCTCAGTGACACACCTCCTTCAACAAGACCACACCTCCTAATCCTCTCCAAATAGTTCCACCAGCTGGGTACCAAGCATTTAAATATATGAACCCATGGGTCATTCTCATTCAACAGCCCCCTCCATACTCCCCTACACCCCATGTACACATAAGAAAACCACAAGTATAGAAGAGAACATATAATAAATATACTAAATTGATGAGAAAGGAAGAAATTGGCTTTCAAATGCAATGGAATATATTGACTTTATATAGAAATAGAAAGATATCTTATACATAATGAAAGAGCTTCAAATCCTTCAATATATTAAATAATTCATTAACCACAACAGGGTATTATACCTTTCCTGTTATTTTATAGAAGAGGTATTATAAAATTTCAATGAATTACTCGTAAGCAAAATTTCTACACATTCATAGCAACAACTTTTTCACTGGTGATTTCCTCAATAAGTACTGATTTTCCAGTCATGGAAAGTGACTAGAGTACTTCCCCATCTTAGTCTAGTGGCATCCTCAGACAGCATCTGAAATAATAGTCACAAGCGCTTTAGTCTTGTAAGTTCTTGGTCCTTGTCACAGGACACTGTAACTCAGAAGCAGTATGTAACCAAACGTGCAGGGGCTGTGCTCTGATGCAAGCTTATCTGCAGTAACAGGCAACAGTCTACATACTGCAGTGTCCAGCACTGGTCTGTCCTCAGCTCACACTGAAAAGGTACTGGTTCTTAAAGCCAACACCCTCAGGTGAAGAGATAAGTCATATTACAATGTAGTCAACAAATGCTGATTCCTTGGTTAAGAGTGTTCACTCACCAGAACATCAAAGATGTGGAGAAGACAGATCTTTATGGTGCTTACTTGGCAAGACAACGAGTCAAAGATGGTTTTTCTAATTTTTATAAATATAAGTATTCAATTATTACATAACTTCACTTTCTTCTGAAAACTTAAAGCCAACAATTTCTTGAAATTACTTTAATAGTTTCGTTTAAATTATTTTACGTAAAAAAAATTTAGATTAAATTTTTAAAACTTAGTATTGTGAAATTTTAAGGTTTACAAATGGAAGAAAATTCCAAAGGACACAATAAAGTTCTGAGTGGGGGAGAAAGAAAGAGCAAGTTGAAACAGATAGTGCAAACCTCCTTTGCTGTACCTGAGCTGCTACTACATATCTGTTTCTGCCTGACAATCCAGTTCTCATCAACAGGATAATTCTGAAGCAATGTGAGGATCACAGTTGAAAGGTACCTCAAAACTCACAACAGGCCAGTGAACAATCAAGATTCTGAAAGCCAAGCAAAGACTTTCAAACTCACCATCTCTGTTAGTCTCCCATTCTACATGTTCTTCTTCGCTTTCTGGAGTTCTCTCCTTAACAATTTTTATGTCTTCCTTGTCTCTGTGTCTCCCTCTTGAAGATTCTTTCTACAAAGGAGACATACACAAACTCAGGTTACCAGATGGTTAAAACGGTGTGAAGCCACTGTTGAGTACACTGCACTTCCACCTCATTCAGCCCTGCTTCTGGGGGAGGAGGATTTGTAAGTCATTTATCCGCAAATTCTAGTGCAGTCACATGAAAAAAAATTTATTTTACTAAAGAACAGCAATATGATAAATGTAAAAAGTAGCTCAGACGTTTTTAAAAGTGCAAAGAAACCCAATACTCTGACGTTCTACTCCATATTAAGCTTCTATGTGAAAATCTACTCAGTAAAAAAGTTTCAAATGGATAAAGTACAATGGAAGATTAGCTAAGTGACCACATATAAAATCCAACTTTAAAAAGGCTAACCCATTGAGCAGACTCTTAAAATGACCATCTAAAACGTCTGTCCTAAATAACAGCTACTTGCCTATACCCAAAGGATGCATTCAAATTCATTTTAGTAATTTTATAAAACCTTTTAAAAAATCTTTTTAAAAACCTATTTTAGTTAAAGTGAATGATATTTAACACAATTAATGTTAAACCTTAATACTGTCCCTAAAATACTAGAAAATATTAGGGTTTAGATATCCCAAGCTTAGTGGCTTACACTTCAAATTGGAAAACAGTAATAAATTCAATTTATAAAGTATTTCAGCAATTCAACTGAATACCCTGTTCTTTAAGATTCCAAACCAGATTTTATTAAGTAGCAAGAAATAATTGAAGCCCTTCACAGGGAACTTACCACTTTTATGGAATATTCTAAACACTAACCATGATTGTCAGTTAGATTAAGTGCTTACATTTCTGAATATTCCAGTCATAAAACTTGGTTGCCTGAAACACAAATTAATTTTTCTTTAAAGTGTTCTTTCTCTAAAGAATCCCTCTAAACTTTAACACTTAGGTACGATTTATAAACATTAATTCCAAAATCGCTTGCTAGGTATCACAGGCTGACAAAAGCCTGTATAAGAATGATGTCTGCCATGGAAAACTTACAAAAGACTAAGAAATAAAGAAACGGTGTTTGCAGGACGCTGAAAAGAAGAGGAGGAGCGCAGGCTGTGGAGCACCAGGGGAGAACTGCCCATGTCTAAGACAGCTTCTGGATGGTAATCCTAAATACAACAACCGGCTTTCTAAGGGACCACACAAACCCAGCTCTAATGTAAATACCAAGGGTTACAGAGCAGCAGTGCTAGCACAGCAAACCACACAAAATAATCTGTAAACCTGTAAGTAGCATGCTATTTGGATCACATTATGAATTAGAAATACAATAATGACTACATTTCACCAGTTATACAATAGTTCACATTTATAGGAAAGGACTGTCTAATCATAAGTTGCCCATGTTTTTCAGTGCAACTCAACTCTGTCCAGAGATCACATAGAACTTCAATTACATGATATACAGTCTGTACTCAGGCTTCAACATGTAGTAGAATTTCAAATTAGAAGATTATATCTTTTTCTATTATACAGTAACCATCCCACTTAAACCATAATACAGAAAATTATCTTGATAACACATGAGGCTTTAGCTCACATACAAGTGTGTTGGCTAGCTTTATGTCAACTTGACACAAGCTAAAATCATCTGGGAGGAGGGAGCCTCAATTAAAGAATGACTCCTTAAGATTCAGTTCTAGGTAGGCCTGTAGGGCATTTTCTTAACTACTGATTGATAGGGGAAAGCCCAGCCTATTATGGTTGGGGTCACCCCTGGGCTGGCTTTCTTGTGTTCTCTAAGGAGGCTGAGCAAGCAGTGAGAAGGAAGCCACCAAGCAGAACTTCTCCATGGCCTCTGCATCAGCCCCCTGCCTTCACAGACGCGCCAGGCACAAGTTCCTGCCTTGGCTTCATATATTGGACTGTGACTTGAGATATGGAAGCCAAATAAGCCCTGTCCTTCCAAACTGCTCTTGGTTTGACGTTGCATCACAGCAGGACTAACCATGACAGGACAACAGGAACCCGTTCCTCCATTCTCTCTACTCAGTAGTCTCTAACTATTAGGCATATCATTCCTTTATCACATATGTAGCATGGTCTTCTTTCAGCTTCCTGAATTTCCTTAGTAGAATAGCTTGATAGCTTCTTTGAATCTTGAATATACTAGTTAGAAGCATAACCCTTCTTATACTTTATTATGTATTCTAAAGTTAGTATTCATATTGGAATACTATTAAGCGACCACAATATTTTAGGCCAAATACTTCAGAATAGATTATTCAGAATTTTAAAAATGTAAAACTGTTGCCATTGTTATTGGTTACCCTGATCAGAACCTGATAAGCTTCTTTTGCTAAAGACATCACTCACCCACACAGAACATGAAGAAATCTAGCTGGTACTAAACTGAAAGTTTCCTCCCTAATGGCTAGCTTTCACAGTGCTGGCAGATACTGTGCACATTACTAAAGGAGAAAAGTCATCATCAGTCTTATCCAGCTGTGAACCCAGGGGGCCACAGTAATGGCCTGTCTAGCAAGACAGACCTACTTGTGCAATACTCACAAAAATGCTATGGGAGTAAGCAACCACTTTCCTGATTGTACTTAATGCCCACTCCACAAGATGTAACATATGCCTGGCACTCAATGAGGCCAAGAACCTGGAGGTAGATAGGCCCTAGGGGAGAATCTACTATTATTCTGCTTAAATGGATACAGCACGAAAAAGGACTTCTAATGGCTTACTTCTATACCCACAGATCTGTACCTTTCTAAACCCTTGCAGAGAAGCTTCTTCTTGCAGTATATGCCAATTAACAGAGACCCAGAATTGGTCTAAGCGCAGAAAAAAAGAGACTCCAAAGTGCTCTGCCCTAAGTGGGACATTACTATAGCACACCTCTTCCCTCAAAGGTCAAGAATTTTCTCAGCAGCAGGAATAAAAGACTGTAAGAGGCGGCGGGTGGCTTCAATGAGACAGTGTGCTCTGGACACAACAGGACAGTGGCACATATGAACTCACATGCATAAGACTTGCACAAACTCAAGCCAAACAAAATCTCAGAGTGGAGTAGAGGTGAGCATGAAGCCTACTCCTAGCTAAGAAACTTGTCATTTGGTGGCTGCTGGGAGAGAGCAAGCCCATTTTCTTTAATGGTGTAATTTTGATGAATCAGTAACACTCCAGGGCAAGCTCCACACCCAACACAGGCTGGATGGGTTTAAATGGAAGGGGGAGCGGAGTCAAGAACAAGAACACATGAAGGTCGGTGGGTCTGGGAGGAGTTGAGGAATGGGGATAAACATGATCAAAACATATTATATGAAATTCTCATATAACATCATTAAATAACATTATTCTCAACATTTCAAAGCATATTCAGTAGCAGTGCAGTCTATGATCAAACACATTAATATTTTTATAGTAAAACCTAAAAATTTATGAACTGAGTACGATTTACAACTGGGTTATTTCAATTAAGACCAAGTTGTGATAACTAATAAGTCTGTGCCTAACTTGGGAAAGTATTTTAGGTTACTTCTATTTCAGAGATCCAATGCTTACAAAGTTCTAAATTACTTTGAGGTATATTCACTTTTCTTAAATGTTTACTTGTAGAGCAGATTATGTTCATTACAAGTCTTATCTTACATAGCAAGGAGACATTACAAGAATCTGAAATAAAAAGTATTGAGATTAACCATTGAAAACAAACATTATAAGTGGGTTGGTAGTCAAATAAAATGTTATATCTTTGAAAGAAATATATAATCCAATTCCAACCATACAGAAGAAAATGTCTAATAACACTATATAAGTTCTTAGAAAATTTAACAGGGTTAAATTAAAGGTTTAATTTAAAGGTTTCCAGTGACAGTTCCTTACTGTACATTCCTCTACGCCCATTTCTAGAGGGCTCTAATTACTCTTTCTTAGTCTTTATCTCCCCAGATTCTAATGATTAGAACTAACTCTCATCAATGAAATTATGCAAAACAGATCTAGTACTTCTTCTACAAGCTTACTCTTTAAATGTTTGGACATCACTACTACATCCCTTCAATAAATACCTTTTCTATCAGGCCAAGAGCCAAAGGCATCTCACGTTTATCACAGATTTTTTATTACATAATTCTTACACTTTCATTAATCTACCGATCTTCTCTATAACATGCTGCTCTAGTTAGCTTTCTGCTATGACAAAAAACTGACCAAAATCAAACTGAGGAAGGAAAGGGGTTATTTTATAGAGGGAAGCCAAGATAAAAATCCCAAGACAGGAACTAAAGCAGAGAGCATTGAGGCTTACTTCTTCTGGCTTGCTCAGCTACCTTCCAGGTTTTGTTTTGTTTTGGTTTTGGTTTTTTTGAGACAGGGATTCTCTGTGTAGCTTTGGAGCCTGTCCTGGAACTCACTCTGTAGACCAGGCTGGCCTCAGACTCACAGTGATCCACCTGCTTCTGCCTCTCAGTGTGCTGGAATTAAAGGTGTGCACCATCACTGCTGGGTATTTTTTAAAAAAAAATCCCTCAGGACCCAGCAATTCCACTCTTGGGAATATACCCAAGAGATGCCCTAACATACTACAAAAGCATTTGTTCAACTATGTTCATAGCTGCACTATTTGTAATAGCCAGAACCTGGAAACAACCAAGGTGCCCCTCAATAGAAGAATGGTTAAAGAAGGTGTGGAACATATACACTTTAGAGTTTTACTCAGCGGTAAAAAACAATGACATCTTGAATTTTGCATGCAAATGGATGGAAATAGAAAACGCTTTACTGAGTGAGGTAACCCAGACCCAAAAAGAGGAATATGTTATATACTCACTCATAAGTGGATTCTAGCCTTAATTAAAGGTCTTTGAGCCTATAATTCGTGATCCTAGAGAAGCTAAATAAGAAGGTGAACCTGAAGAAAATCATATAGTTATCCTCCTGGATATTGGAATTAGACAAGATTGCCAGGCAAACTTGGGTGCACAAGGCGTGGGGAGGTGGAAGTAAGGGGAGATGGTTGGAGAGAAGGGAG